AGCATATCTTTGGAAATTTCAGCACAAGCGTTTCTTATGGGCTGTATCATGTATTCCCGAGTTGTTGGTGCTTGTTGAAAAACCTTATCTTTTAGATAACCCCACAGAAAAAAATTCGGCGATGTCAAATCAGGTGACCTAGCAGGCCAATTAACCGGGCCACCTCTGCCGATCCATCGGCCATTGATATCACGGTTCAATACTTCTCGTGCTGTTGCTGAGTAATGGGCTGGGCAACCGTCATGATGAAACCACATAATTTGTTGAATGGGCAGGGCAACATCCTCAAGTAGAGGTGGTAGTTCATGTTCCAGGAAATTTCGATATTTGATTCCATTTAAGGTTCCATCAATGAAATAAGGACCAATGAGTTTGTTACCTAAAATTCCACACCAAACGTTAACCGACCAGGGACGTTGATGTTCAACTTGTCGTAACCAGTGGGGATTGTCCACACTCCAATAGTGCATGTTATGCCGATTAACGGAACCATCGTTTGTGAATGTGGACTCATCTGAAAATAGTAGATTAGCGAAGAAATTGGGATTTCTTTGTATTTGCTGAACTGCCCATTCACAAAATTCTACTCGCCGATGAAAATCATTGCCATGAATTTCCTGAGGCAGTGAAACCCGCTATGGGTGATACTTGTGACGATTCAATATTTTCCGAATACTATCTCTGGAAATCCCGAGATCCCGATGTATTTCCCGACTGCTTACATGAGGGTTATGTGGAACAACTGCTATCACATTCATTTCATTAGCTTCTCCTGTGACAGTGTTTCTATACCAAAGGTATAAATATGTTTTTATAACATACCTACATATTATGTACATACCTGGACGCATTAGTAAGGTATAAATATTTTTAATTTGTACCAACATAAAAAAGGAATTAAATAATTTAATTTATTTTGAATTCCCTAACAATTCTCGTATACACTAATTATAATTTTTAATGGGAAATCCGAATCTGCAATTTTTCAAGATATTCCCAAAAATAGGGTTTCTTGCGATTACCGCGCCATCTATCAGGAATTTAAAAAAAGGTTTTCCATAAAAGTTACTTATTTTTTTATGGGAAATCCAAATCTGCAATAAAAAATGGGGGTTCCTATTTAGAATTTTAAAGTTGCCCCCACCCCCACCCAGGGGGTGGTGGTGAGGAGTCGACTTTGGTATCATTGGATGGCCCCCTTCCAGGCGAACAAATTTTATTCAAAACTTTTTTTGATCCGATGCGTAGTTTTCGAAATATTTCAATGTCTTCAGATAAATCGGCCACCCTGTATATATATACATATGTAACTAGTTTATATTATCATTGAGAATTATCTCAATGGTTGTTTTTGATGGATGTCTGGGCCTGGCATTTTCCAATCTTGTCATGCAAAATTCCATAAAAATATCTTTTGACTCTTCTCTCTCTCTGTATTTGGCTGCCAAGATCCGAATTCTCTCCGTTATTGGAATTATTCCTGTTCTTTGGTATAACAAATTAATATTTCAATAAAAACGTATTTATGGTTTTATTAAAATATTATTAAAGACAAACCGAAAATTTAACGTTTCAATTATCCTCATTTCTTTTTTTAATTTAAAATTTCCGCTCATTTGATACCAGTCAAGCTTCGCAGTGTTGCCAGACTGACCCGCTTTACTTATTTCAAATAAAAAAAAATGAATGTATATAATCCAAGCGGACAAATAAGTTATTTGTCCGCTTGGATTATATACAGTTCATTTTTTTTTATCTGGACTCGTTTTTTTGTTAGGTTGGTGCCCTGCTTAAAATACCCCATAGAGACCTATACAAAATAATCTATCGGGCGCTACCGGATTCAATATGTGCATTTGTCTATGTTTTTTTCCGGATACGGCCCGATAGAAAATGTATAGGAAATTACCTATAGGCACACCATAACTTTAACATTTTCCCTATTGAGACCGATAGCAAATAACTCAATGAAGGATATATAGGGATATCCCTATAGAGCAACCATAAAACATTTGACATAATTTAATTAAAACCTATGGGGTCCTATAGGGGAAAAACTAATTTCTACATTTATGTGTATTTTCCCCATTGAAACCGATAGCAAATAAATCAAGGGTGGATATCCCTATAGAACAACCATAAATCTCAACTATAGTTATAGACCCATATATGGGTCCTATACAAACCGATACACCGTATAGAAACACCATACATTCCGATACAAATATCTATCGGTTTGAACAGGGTCTCTATGGGGTATTTTAAGCAGGGTGGCTTATGCCAGTTTATTTTTAGTATTTAAAAATGGGACCTTCTGCTAAAGAATTTAATTAAATACTTTGACACTGTCAAATTGACAATAATATTTACTATTGATAATTTACTTGTCAATTATAAATAAAAAGATAATTATGCCAAAAATAATAGCAACGAATTCGAATGTAAAAGCCCTTTTGAGGGTAAAACTTAATTTTGATGATATTATGCCAAATGCCACAATGGGAGAAAAAGTACATCGCCTTATGGACATTTTTGGAGTAAAGAATTAACGAATTTGGTTTTATAAATATTGCATCACACATTATTTTCACATTATTCACCATTGGACAACATTTACGTTCACAAAAAAAATTTAATTTCTTTTATATAAATTCTTTTCAAAGCGAAGATTATTATCCGCTAGGAATACTTTCTGTTCTGGGCCGTAAAGCAACCTATATTTAACTACTTTTTTATATGATTTTACTCATCCAAGCACCACCAAAGCCAAATTAATTGCATTTTTAACTACGAATTTCGACAACTCAACTTGACAACTGCACAATGTAACCTACAATAATTTATACATAACCACAATTAGATTTATAACTAGCTTAGTTTGTTTTAATCAATGCGACCAACTTGACAACTGTATTTACCAACCAAAACCCTAAATTTGCAACGTTGCCGCAGTCCAGATAAACAAAATGAACTTTGTTACAGTAATTAAACGCTAATCATTTTTTTCCCTATTTCCTATTCCTATACAGGGTGCACCAATTAACCTTCTGTGTATAATTACTATACTGTATACAGAATACACATGGGTATTTTTTTATTTGAAGAGCTACAAGGTCGGTTAAATTATCAAAAGTTGCAAAATTACAAGTATAAATATTATATGTATATAAAGGCATTTAAAAATAAGAAAAAAAATGAGCGTTTCTTAAATAATTTGAAAAAAACTGAAACTTTGCTTGTAACTCTTCAAATAAAAAAATACCCATGTGTATTATGTATACAGTATAGTAATTGAGGAGCATCCGTGCAAAACCGGCTATATCCACTTTGATAAAATGTTGGGAAAATGGCAAAAACTCTCGGTTTCCGGGCCTTTACAGATAAAAAAAAGCAAACTTGAGTTTTGTGGGCTATGTAGTACTTGATTTATAAGACATACTTTCGTTTTCAAAAACTTTATATTAAGGCCAAAATTTCAAAAATGTTTTGTATATAGCCGGTTTTGCTCAAAAAGCCAATAAAATGTGAAAAAAAAACCTTTATTACCCTGCTTAAAATACCCCATAGAGACCTATACAAAATAATCTATCGGGCGCTACCGGATTCAATATGTGCATTTGTCCATGGTTTTTTCCGGATACAGCCCGATAGAAAATGTATAGGAAATTACCTATAGGCACACCATAACTTTTACATTTTCCCTATTGAGACCGATAGAAAATAACTCAATGAAGGATATATAGGGATATCCCTATAGAGCAACCATAAAACATTTGACAAAATTTTATTAAAACCTATGGGGTCCTATAGGGAAAAACCTAATTTCTACATTTATGTGTATTTTCCCCATTGAAACCGATATCAAATAAATCAATGGTGGATATCCCTATAGAACAACCATAAATCTCAAGTATGGGTTCTATACAAACCGATACACCCTATAGAAACACCATACATCCCGATACAAATATCTATCGGTTTGAACAGGGTCTCTATGGGGTATTTTAAGCAGGGTATTCAAAAATATTAACAAAATAAATTTACTGCAAACATGAAAAAACAGAACAAATTTTAGTAGTATCGACATATCCAAGCCACATGCTCATCATCATTATTATTTATTGGATATAGCCGGGTTTGCTATGAAAACGTAGATTTGGCCGGTTTTGCTCCTAAAGCTACCTTTTAAATGTGATTTTAACATGGATATAGTCGGATTTAAACAGAATTATCTTGGTTGTCGATAGAAATGAACCCAAAGATGCGAAATCAGAAAAAAAACAAAAACTGAATAAAATGGATTTAGCCGGTTTTGCACGGATGCTCCTCAATAATTATTATACACAGGTTACTTGGTGCACCCTGTATAGGAATTTTGACAAACAGTCAGAAAATAAATATGTCCTGGGCAGGAAGACGAAAGTCGTTAGCCTTTTGGATTTCCAATAAAGTTTATTATTATTATTATTAAATATGTCCTAAGGTGCCTTATTTTTACTACCTACTTAATAAAAAAACTTAAAGCAGATTTTGTATTGATATAAAAATCATAATTTTACTTTTGTCTGCAAAAGCTTATAACAAATTCACCATTCCATTAAAATAACGAATAATTAATATTTAATTTAATGTAAAAATAATGAGCACACTTACATAATATAAAGCACAGATTAATAAAAGTTGAGTCCATATTCATATAATTGATTTCATCATCACTCTTCACAACCACCAGAGTCATTATGAAAATAAACTAAGAAATAAGAAGTAAGGGTCTTTAAAAGCATCCAAATCCCTCTTATTGGGTTAAGAACACGCGCCATCACGTGATTTTTTTCTAAGAATATGGGCCCCCTCTAAAAGGGAAGCATTTAATATTTAACAAGTTTAGACAAGCTTTAAAAAATGTATTCTATACAGGGTGCTATTTCTTGTTGAATTTTTAAAATTAATATTTTTTATTATAGTAATTTATTTTATATAGGTTGTTTTAAATCCCCAAAATGAATGACCATCTTCCCAATGTGGCTCTGCTGGAAAATCTTGTTTTCAACGATAGCCAAGGAGAAGGGTAAGCTTTAAAATAAAATGAACTTTTTATCATTTTTTTTCTAAATGTCATTCTCTTCTTTTTACAGAAATTTGTACAACTTTGAAGATGTAAGTTAAACTTTTTAAATTATTTTTAAAAAAATATTACAAAAAAAGGTCAATTTTTGCTTAATATACAAGGTGTCCCTAAAATGCCTGTAAAAATAATACCACATATTTCTGAGACCAAAATAATGCGATATCTATTTTGCGTTTATAATGACTTAATTGTAACACACGGTGCTGTAATGAGGTGCTTTACCCATGCCTATTGGTTATAATATTTTTATTTTACTTACGAGACTTTTCTGGCAATAAATTTTGTTTAACACCAAAGAAAATCCTTTTTTCTTCTTTAACATTAACAGCCGCTTATTGTAAATAAGTAAATTAAGGACGCCATGGCGAATCGATTTTGACATTAACCCTTTAAACCAATGACTGATACCAACTACCTAAAGTAAAATTCGACCAAATTAAATATAAGGTATAAAATTAATTTTTTTATAGAATTATTGCTAAATAGATAAAATAGCATAAAGAACTCATGTCATAAGACCCTTTGTCGCAGTAGTCCATTACAAAACTCGTTTTATAAATTGTCCTCGTGCGACAAAATGACATATTATGACATTAGTTCTTTAATATACGATTACCTCTATACAAAAGTTGATAATAACCAAGGTCTCAAAGTTGAAAGTTCATTTTCAATTTTATTAAATAAATTTGGAAAAAACAAACGTTTTTGCAGAAATTTTTATTTTTGGGGGTTTATCAGGAAAGAAAAATTAAATTTCCTTTCTTATGAAATTTAATTTTCCGGCCTAAAAACCCCCAAAAATATTTTTTTAAATTAATTTAATAAAATCAAAAACGAACAACTCATAGGCTAAGAACTTGCAACAAAAATTTGAAATCATGTTTGTTCATTGATAAATATTTTAATGAATTTAAAAATAAATCATGTTTTCAAAATATTGTATTAAATGTACTTTATTTAATACTTACAAATAAGTTGAATGTCAATTTCACCATTGGTGAAAGTAATTCCACTATATTATAATTTTTATACCTACCGCGTTGAAAGCTATATAAATATTGTGACTCACTTGAACAAGATCCGACGAGTTTGAAGTATGAATAGGCATGGGGCCGAAATATGCAGCTTGCACTCAAAATTTACCATTCTCATTTGAAACGCGTCTGTGATACTTTATTTGTATATAAGCATAGTAATATATATATTTATTTATTTATATAAAATTATTTATTTATTGTGTTTATTAAGTTTTATGTGATTTGTGTAAAATTAGGGAGAGCACTTTCAAGACCTTGATGAAATTGATACCAAAATGATTATTCCAATTCCTATTGCTTCAAATGTTATCTCAAATGAAGAGTACCCTGGATGCTACGAATTTGAAGTTTGCATCATTCCAGTTCAAAATAAACAACCCTGGGTGGTAAGTTTAACTTTCCATTTTGGTAAATTTCCATTAAAAATAATTTTTGCAAAATCGTTTTTTCTAAAAATAACTAGTAAAGAATAAATATAAATAATTGTTAAATGTTTTAACTGAGTCCTAACTTTTTAAATTTTTTTCACTATTTTGTTTATACGAGGTGTGTTCAGAAAATATCGAGAATTTTCGGTTTTTTGAAACAAATATTTATTTATTCGTCTACATTAATGTTGACACCTTCAAAATAGTCCCCATTGGATATTATGCACATGTGCCAGCTCTTCTTCCAATACTCGAAACACTTTTAAAACTCGCCTTTAGCTCTTTCAGCGATGCGCTTTTAATGTCATCTATGCTTGCAAAACGACGGTCCTTTAAGGTTCTCTTTATTTTTGGGAGAATGGAAAAAAGTCAGACAGAGGCATGTCTGGCGAATATGGAGGCTGGGGCATCATTACAGTATTGTTATTGGCCAAAAATTTTGTTCAAAATTTAACAATTTTAGAACAAGTTTTGCTGCCACGCGTTTCATACTCAAAACATTCGAAAAAATTTCATGGGATGAGCCAATCGATATACCAACATCATCAGCGACTTCTCTGATGGTTTATAACCATTTCTTCCACTTTTCCATGTTTTTATCGGTTGTTAATGTGCTTGTACGTTCGGGGCGTTCGTCATCTTCAACGTCTTCACGGCCATCTTGGAAACTCTTATACCACTTGTAAACTCTTGTTTTACTTATAGCAGACTCACTATAGGCCTTTGTTAACATTTCACAGAATTTATTTCATTTTTTAAGCAAAATTGGATACAAATTCTTTGATCCATTTCTTTTAACGAACTAAAAATCGCCGAGCTTATAAAACACGTCTAACCTTAGCGGCTGCCACAGACAAAGTAAACGATGAAAACAGCTAAAGTATCATGCTTCGGGGGAATGTATACCAGTGATGCCAACTCGTGGGAAATTTCCCATTTTGAGGGAAATTTTACCTCAAATTGAGACAAATGGGAAAAAGGGAAAAATTTTCAAAAAAGGCCGTCCATGAGGGAAATTTATATCAATTCAAAATGAAAATTTATAATTAACCCTTTCCTTCTTTTTCTAATCAAATAATTCGGATTTTTTTATATTTTATGACTTTTTTTCGTATTTTACACAAAAAATATATATAACTTTTAATGTAACAAAACTTTATTTGGATTTACATAATAAAAATATGTATTCTTTTAAAGATCAAAACAATAGGACGTATTTATAGAAGAAAGGATATGTTTATACTTGCAAAATATGAACGAAATCCTTCAGCTTTTATATACATATAAATTATATGTATATAAAAGCTGATATATCCTTATGCTTATATTTGTAAAATAGGAAATCCTTTAGCTTGTATTAATGATTATATGATATAATCATTAATACAAGCTAAAGGATTTCCTTCATATTTTACAAATATAAGCATAAGGATATATCCTTTTTTATCAATATGGCAAATTGGTTTATAATTTTATTTTACATATATTTTTGTATTTATACACGTTGTTTTTTATAGGTTTACTAAAAAATACTGTTGCTAAACTTTTAAAATGCTGTCTTTTTTGCAAAATAATATCTCTTATATTTAAAAAAACGGGTAACAGAATATTTCAAAAAGCGTGGGAAAAAAGGGAATTTTTGAACATTTTCGAGGGAAATTTGTTGCAAAAGGGTTGGCAACACTGATGTATACCAGCATAATAAAGAAAATTTTATGACAACCGGAGCCTATGAACCCGCGAAATTTAACAATTCCCGTTATTTTCCGAACACATCTCGTATTAATAATTCATTAATTATTATTGTTCAGTTTTATCTAGCTTCAATTGTTATTCTTATCTATTTAAACTTGCGATTATTAATACATTACAGTGTCTAAAGATTATCACCCACTACACATTCGATTATTAATACATTACAGTGTCTAAAGATTATCACCCACTGAATAAAAAACTTGAAAAAAACGTTTTTTTTTTGGTTTTTCTGTTTTTTTTTCAAAATGAAATTTTGAGTAAAATGTATATACAGTGCTTGCAAATCCAAGTCCGACCGCGTTGGGAAGGATGGTTGTTCAATACCCGCGTGAAAAGAATAAGGATAGAATGCCAAACAGAATTTGATTGGTCAGAGCGTCAGGCGTGCGTATTGTAAGCGCCTTCTGTTTAGCGTTCTATCCTTGTTATTTTCACGCGTCCTTCCCAAACCGGTCGGACTTGGATTTGCAAGCACTGTATATATAATATATATTAATAATAAAGTGAATAAGTTTTTGCTTGGCCGTACTGGCCCAATAAATATAATATAAATTTAATTGGTGCAATTTATTATTTACCATAGTTTATCAACAAATTTCAAATTTTATATTAAAAATATTATTTGGTAGTTTCCACTTAATCCTAACGAATACCGTAATAAAAAAAATCGATTTTTTTTTTGCTTTCTTTTTTGGTCCACGGAATGTTCTGACTTAACCACCAATGAATAAATGTTCTACAAGAATTTGCTATTGTTTTTTTGAAAAAAAAAGTGCTTTTGGTAGCTTGAAGAGAATTCTCATTTTTTTATTTTTTTTCTGGTGGCGCTTGATAGCATTATTGCATACAAGGTTTGTTAAAAATACATTTAAAGCATACGAACTACACATCATTTTTAAATAAATAAGGATTTTTTTGTTTTTTAGATGTAGTAACTAACTAATCATGATGGGTTAAAAACTTAAATAGCAAATTTTGTAGTGCTTTTAACTTACAACTTACAAAATTGTCCTAAACAAATTTATTGGATCATTAATAGTTAAAAAAGTTATATACTCATGATGTCTTCTTTTTATAATTTGTTGTTAAATTTACGCGTTACTTAATGTTGTATCTCTCTTTACCCCACGTCGCGACCGCGACAAGAAAGTGGAGGGGGAAAACTCGTCGCGTATAATCTGGACACACTGATACTGTAATATCTGTAATAAGTTGACTTCTTAAGACAGTTATATTAACCATTCTTAAAGTAGTAATACGTGGGTTAAAATTGGTTTAAAGAAGCTTATTTAATTTCAGTTTTCCATTGCACTGAACAAAGTGTTTATGGATATGTCCAATCCTTTTCCAATTGATTTCAAAATCAAAGATTCTTATATGAGAACTGAGCAATTGTATGTTAGAGCAACACCCAGATATTCTCAAACACAATCTTTGCACGATCTTGTGCATAGGTGCATAAACCATGAGCATATCCATGAGCCTACCAACAAAGGTATGTATGTTTTATCCAACGGATAATTTATAAGCTACAGCGTTTTAAAAGACGCAAGGTTCAAAAAGCTTCGATGACTACTACGATAATGTTGATGTAACACTCGTGTCAAGACTTACATAACCTTTTTACTTGTTATAAAAGCATTTACAACATATTTTAGTATAAAGCTCGATTTAATGACTTGAAGAATATGAACAAAACCCCAGATGATAGATATTCGTAAGTAATATCATAAGGGCATTTAATTTTTCCGAAAAGAATCGAAAAAACACGTTGCTAAGTAATATTTTAACAAAAAGCATGAGTGCTGGTGGCAACAAAAATCCGAGTCGAAGAGGAGGATTTTTGCACCTGCACGAATGCATTTTGTTAAAAAATATTTCTTAGCATTGTGTTTTTTCGATTTTTTTCACAGGAAAAATTAGATGCCCGAATGGTATTTGACAAGACTATTTCATGAGTAACAGTTAACAATTAAAATATAAATTGCAATTTTTGGTGACAACAGCTGTCAAGTTTTGCCGCGGGTAAACTCGAATAAACTGCTGACAGGTGCTGTCACACAGTTTTTTCACCTAGAAACCATTTGTAATTCAAAATTGCGCGTTTGTGATTGGTGGAAATTAAGACGAGGGAAATAGTCAACTAAATAATTCGTTTGTAACTTAAAATACTTCATTCGTTAGTCTTGACACGTCTGTTGCGGCAACTAAGGTAAAAAACGTACATCGTACAATTTATTTTTTTAGATGTAGGTGATCCGTTGCATCGACAGCACATAATCCGTTGCAAAAATCCAAACACCACCTACCTTGGCGACAAAAACAAAAACGAACGCCTTAGCGTTATAATACCCCTTTCGACCCCTGAAGCTGGCACTGATAGCGTGAAGGAAATGTACGAGTTCGTGTGCAAAAATTCCTGCCCTGTTCCTGGAATGAACAGGAGACCCATCCAGATCATTTTTACCTTGGAAAACGTACAGTAAGTTTTCTTCTGAATTTGGTCATAATGGTCAAAAAGCAGCGTTTTGCGGAAAAAATTCAATAATTTTTTTATTACAAATAAATATTATTTTTTTCTTTTTTTAATGTGTTAAATAGGAGTTATTACGTATAATTTACTATATTTTAATCAAAAATAAAATTTTAATTTTTTTTATGTTTTAAATACGTTTTTAGATTATCATAAACACTGTTTTGCAGAAATAATACACAAACTTTTTTATTAAAAATAAATATATTTTTTTTCTTTTTTACTGTATTAGGTATATAAGGATTATTACGTATAATTAACTATATTTCAATAAAAAAAACAAAAAGGTTTTTATTTTTTAAATGCGTTTTAGATGGTCCTAGAGCATCAATTGAATAAATAAATATTTTTACTGTGTTTAATAAGACTTAATAGGTATAATTAACTATTTTAATAAAAGAAAATAAAGGTCTTTATTTTTTAAATGCCTTTTTTATTTTTTATTATGTATTAAGTTTGATAAATGCCATTTTATACACGAATTTAATTTAGGCACGAGCGAGCTTGCGAGCGAGTTCTTAAATTAATGCGTGTATAGAAAAGTTTATAAACGAGGTGCATACTATACTTTTTCTACGACAAATACTTATTATTATCTTAAAATGATTTAAATCAAAAATTTTTATAGAGCGCCATCTATGAAACAATAGGGGAATCTGTGTGTCACCGTCAAATATCATTTTTTATTTTATAAACACAGATTATAAAGGTTATAAATCGAAATGTATTTCTTGAAAATTGACAGTTTTTCACAGTGTAAGTAAATGTTTATGAGCACTTTACAGTGGAGTCCCTGTTCGAATTTAAGTTATAGTTTACTGCCGGCGAAATTATAAGGTCAGTACAATGTTCATATAAACTTTTCAAATATTGGCGTTGAGAAACTATTTAATACTTCTGTATTTTTGTATTGAGATAATAAAATAATTTTCACATTTAGTATTATTTTACAAGATAGGCACTTTATTTTAACGATTGTCCCTATGACATTTGACAACTGTCAACTAACTTAAAACTAACTTCAGCCCGTGACTAAAGCGCCATAAAGACACAACTTGTCAATGTGTATTTAAAAGGTCACTTGGTGTCATGGAAACATGTACAATAAAGGGAGTTTTAAAGGTGGGAGTAGCAAAATACATTTTGTTTAACTAAGCACACTTTAATTAATATTAATTTTTTTCCTCTTAATTTTACCAATGTGTTTTTAAAACGTTATAACTTTTAATTTTTATTTTTATATGTGGATTAAGGTGTACTTTAAACTTTTTTAAATAGGTTCTACTTTGAGGTGTCATAAAATTAAAACATAATTATCTAAAAATATTTCTTTAACAAAATCTATTGCTTTAAGAAGTTTTTAACAAATTATCATCATAAAAATACCCATAATAAAAAGTTTTTAAACATGTATTTTTTTCCGCCGATAAACCGTAGAGCGGTGCACAAAAATGTATTTAAAAATCCTTGTCTTGTTTTCAGGGGTATAATCTATGGACGTCGCGTTTTGAACGTGAGAATTTGTTCCTGCCCCAAACGCGACAAAGAAAAGGAGGAGGCCGAATTGCAAAACGCCAATAATCCGGTGCCCCATGGAAAAAAACGAAAGCTCAACAATAAGACTGACAAAAAACCCCTGCAGCCTCCGGATCAAACCAAGGACAATAAAGAGTATGAACTGAACGTAAGTTAATTTTAATAACAACATTTATATTGGAAAGAAATCGCCTTAATTCAATTTTTACGGTGAATTGACAATTTGTTTATACATTTCAGCTAAAAATTGTTGGAAAACATAACGTCCAACAAGTTTTAAAATACTGCCAAGATCTGATGGCCGGAGAAATTATCCGCAACACTCCACAGGGAGCTGAGCCGTTCAAAAAGTGCCTTAATGACTTGCAGCAAATTGGTAAGTAAAATATATGTTCCCTTATAGTGTAAAAAAGTCCAATTACCGCCCTTTTATTAAATAAAACACCTTTAAATTCGACACATCATTGCAACTTTTGGACCAAACCGGTAGTTTGTGTTTTTGCGAATTTAATTTGGTAATAGCAAAAATATTTTTCTTTGAGGTGAAATAATTATGTTCAAAAATTCACTTAAAACTAAAAGTAACATTTTTTAACCCTACAAATTTTGACCTAAATATTTTAACTTTGCAAATAATCGCGATTTTATCCTAAAATTGTTATTTTATTGACAATATTTACTTATTTTAAGTAAAAACGTAAAGTTTTGCTATTAATTATAATTGTCTACAAAAAACGTCCTTATTAATTATCGCATAAATATTGCAGTTTCAGAGATAATTGCGATTTTATCTTAAAATTGTAATTTTTTAACAAAACTTATTTGTTGGAAAATTTATATTTTTATGTACAGGGTGTTCCGAAATTAGTGCACCATACTTTAACAGCAGATTCTACGTGCAAAAATAAGAAAAAAAATCCCTATAAATATAGATCGAGAAATGCCTCCTAAGGGAGCTACAGCCCCCGAAAGGGGAGCCCCTGAATATGGTTTTTACCTAATATTTATAAAAAAGTAGAAACACCCTGTCACTTACTACATGAAACTTTCACCTGTCTTGAATTATTCTATTTTTTCCTAAACATGGCAGTCGTATTCCAAGGACCACGCGAGTCCATTTCTATGGTTGTGATTTAATTGTGAATTTTTATGCCATGTAAAATAATTTTCAAATCGATTTTAAGCGAAAACGGTGTATGTTAACGAAGTTCAACAAGATGACCTTTTTTATGTGCAAAACTCCAAAATTTCATAATCTGACATCAAATTCTAGTACAAGATACGTACAAAAAAGTTAAGGTGGTTTTAACCCCACTTCCTATCAATCTGACCCAAACCTCATGAAATTTTTTAAATTGTTATTGTTACGTCTTATTGGTCATAAAAAGTTTAATTAATTCCCTAAATTTCACTTTTCTATCTTTAACGGTTTTGGAGATATTAAATAAAAATCATCTTCAGGGGCTTTCCTTTTGGGGGCTGTAGCTCCCTTAAGAGGCATTTCTTGACCTATGTTTATAGGGACTTTTTTTCTTATTTTTGCATGTAGAATCTGCTGTTAAAGTATGGTGCACTAATTTCAGGACACCCTGTATTTTGTTAGTAAATTAAATTTTCTAATAAAATTTATTGCTGAATCGTATACAGAAGAAAAATCGAATAAAATTGATTTTTTTTCATTACCATCTATTACAATTATGAAAAAATGTTTTAGACAAAATCTACCTATTTTTAGTCGAATGATCCGAATCTGCAATAAAAAATAGGGTGTTCCATTGGAAATTTTAAAGTTACCCCATGTTCCCCCTATAAGGAGGAGGGAATCATTTAATTTTTATTTTAAACCTTTTTCTGAGATATTTCAAAGTTTCAAGTTAAATGACTCACCCTGTATATTACAAAAAAAAATACTTTTAAAATAAGTTTTGCAAAAAAAATATAATTATTTTTTGAACTACAATATTTATGCGATAATTCATAAGAACCTTTTTGTGCATACTAACTAAGATATTTCAAAGTTAAATGACTTCAGCTGTATAAAAAAAAAATTTAACCAAATCAAAATCATTTTTTTCACGCTATCTGTTAGGAAATTTAATTGACTACAAAAAAGGTTCCCATCAATTTCGACGTAAATATACCAAAATTGTAAATTTTTTGACAAAATTTACTTATTTTAAGTAAAACTTAGTAAATTTATTTCTCTACAAAAAAGATCCTTATCAATTATCGTATAAATATTGCAGTTATATCTTAAAATTGTCATTTTATTAAACAAAACTTATTTTAAAATTAACAAAGTTTTTTTGATATCATTTGTCGGAAAATTTAATTGTTTCCTTTAAGGGCCTTTATCATTTATCTCATAAATATTGTAGATTCAGAGATAATTGCGAAGTTATGGTCATTTTTTAATATGTTAAAAGTATTTTTTTCGTAAAATATGTTGTTAGTAAATTTAATTGTCTACAAAAAAGGTCTTTATTAATTAATGCGTAAAAATTGAAGTTTCAGAGATAATTGCCATTTTATCTTAAAATTGTCATTTTTTAACAAAACTTATTTGTTGAAAGATTTATAAATCTATAATATATTAGTAAAAATAATTGTTTTGATATATTTTGTTAGTAAATTTAATTTCCTACAAAAATGTTCTTATCGATAATTGCATAAATATTGTAGTTCCAGAGATAATCGCCGTTTGGTTTCAAAATTATCATTTATACATAAATATACAACTGTCATTTATAAAATTGACATAGCGCGACGATTAGACATCCGCTTTACAACCGAGAGACCCGAGTTCAAACCCCAGAACCGTCATAACTTTTTTAAATTTAAATCTACTAATTTGACTATTTTATTCAGTATAATTTGACTAATTATTATTAGTGAATGCTTTTTTGCCATGACAATTACTTAACATTAGTAATTTTTACCATGTAAAAAAATTCTAATTTTGCCGGTAACTTTGCCAAGTTACGGACAATATTAGACAAATTATTTTTTTACTTATTAATTAAGTTATGGCATAAAATAAAATGGCGATTATCTATGAAACCAAAATATATATTAAAAAAATTAATAATAATATATAGTGAAAAATGCCAATTTCAAGATAAATTCGCGATATATATCTGGTTAAAAAATTATATAGTGTATTTATTTATTGTGCGATTTTAACTTTAGCAAAAAACGCCATATTTTTACAAAATACAATGCCTAGTTATGTATTTTGAAAGTAAATTTTTAAGAATTCATATTATCGACTTAAAAAAATCTATGCACTGCACTGGATTTACCACCCCTCAAAACGACCCTTAACCAAATTTTAGTTTGGGAACCTTTTTTGTAGAAATTTTTTTTATATAGAAATTATGAGGAGTGACTTTTCTTTGAAAAATTGAAAATAAATATTTTTACAAGTATAGTTAAGTCTATCCGTGGACACACTGTTTTTTAGCAAAACTTAATTCTTGAAAGATTTATTAGTAAAAATAATTTTTTTGATATATTTTAATTTAATTTCCTACAAAAATGTTCTTATCGATTATTGCATAAATATTGTAGTTTCAGAGATAATCGCCGTTTGGTTTCAAAATTATCATTTATACATAAATATACAACTGTCATTTATAAAATTGACATAGCGCGACGATTAGACATCCGCTTTACAACCGAGAGACCCGAGTTCAAACCCCAGAACCGTCATAACTTTTTTAAATTTAAATCTACTAATTTGACTATTTTATTCAGTATAATTTGACTAATTATTATTAGTGAATGCTTTTTTCCATGACAATTACTTAACATTAGTAATTTTTACCATGTAAAAAAAATTCTAATTTTGCCGGTAACTTTGCCAAGTTACGGACAATATTAGACAAATTATTTTTTTACTTATTAATTAAGTTATGGCATAAAATAAAATGGCGATTATCTATGAAACCAAAATATATATTAAAAAAATTAATAATAATATATAGCGAAAAATGCCAATTTCAAGATAAATTCGCGATATATATCTGGTTAAAAAATTATATAGTGTATTTATTTATTGTGCGATTTTAACTTTAGCAAAAAACGCCATATTTTTACAAAATACAATGCCTAGGTATGTATTTTGAAAGTAAATTTTTAAGAATTCATATTATCGACTTAAAAAAATCTATGCACTGCACTGGATTTACCACCCCTCAAAACGACCCTTAACCAAATTTTAGTTTGGGAACCTTTTTTGTAGTCAATTAAATTTCCTAACAGAAGCAAAATAATTTACTTGCATTAGACCTAAAGCACAAAACTTTTCAGAAATTAAAAGAATGTTTAGTTTGAAACGATTCTGTATACATTTATTTCACCTTATTGTGGCAGACACTATGAAATTTTAACTCCATTTATTTATTTTAGGTAAAGAATAATGTAGCTACTATATTTTTTACTTTTTTCTTTCCACTGAGAAATAGGTTAAAGAATATTGATAAGTTTCTGCATACACTGTTAGTGGTTAGATTTACGTTTATTTGTTTAAATTGTGGTTAAACGCAATGTCAAAATTGTTACCCAACTCCAAATGTTATTTTAGTTTTATTTTTTATTTTATTTCTTTTTTGGAGCTAAATTTATTACTTAATTACATAAGTTATGTAGTTGTTAGTGAAATTCATTTATGGTGTTTTATTTTTATTTGTTAAGAAAATTACAAAAAAAAAGTTAAACGAAAAAAACGAACAGAAAAAAACCAGTCCAAAACGTAAATAAAAATAAACACACCAAATGTAACTATTGTGATTTATATTCCATTTTTTTTAACAATGTGGCAATATTTTTTTACTTAATTTTAAAATATAAGAATATATCTTTATACGAGACTTATTTGTCATTCTAAATTTGTATGTGATACAGTCCACACCCAGACATTTGATTTGAGGAACGCAGCTCCATAATTGAGGTTATGCAACTGTGAGTTTCATATTCAGTAGACGTAAAATCGTATATTTATTCATAATTTATCTCCTTGACTTCTTATCATCATAAGGCTGCGTTCCGTATTCAATTTTAAAGTGGCCTTTTGGGTGTGGAGCACAGTACACAGAACACAAAATGTACAAAAATGCTCACCACAGATTTTATCAAAAAATATTTTTGAACTGATGCGTTCCATTAGTAATAATTTATTATTAATAGGGTTAAAAATTGTTGTCTAACCTAAAAACTGCCGTTATTTTTTTTAACTTAATAATCATATACACACAACTAAAAATAAAAAGCAGTTTATCCAATTTAATTACAGAAGTAAAGAAAAAATTATTAAAATAAATTTTTTAGAGAACAAATAACAAAAAATGCACCTCTGGCAGTGTTGCCAAAAATTGTTTAGAAATGGGAGGTGCGATTGTTCTAAAATGGCCTTTAGTTTATCGGATCTTAATCTTAGTCTAGGTAAAAATAGCAAAATTGGTTTGGATAAACTGCTTTTAATTTTTAAATCACTTTTTCCAGTCAATAATGTTTCTCATAATTACTGGGTGATTCCATATAAGTTGCACATGCATTAAATTAACATTATTTCACCCACAATCCACACAACAAGGTAGTAAAAATACTAAAAATCACTGCAACACTGCACATCATACGATGGCGGCCATTTTTGTTGTTTACAATTCTTGTGCTTTGGGTTTGTACAGATTAATAATAATTTGTACGATTATAATCGTTTTAAACGTTGTGTTTCTTACAGAGAGACTTGCAAGCCTTAAAATTTTAAGAGACCTCAAAGTGGTTTAAAACGATTATTAATCTGTACAAACCCAAAGCACAAGAATTGTAATAGTATTTTTACTACGAGATCGAACAGACCTTGTTGTGTGGATTGTGATTTCACGTAAAAATTTGTGCCATTAAAAAAATTATTACAATATACAGTTTGGAAATGTCTTATATTAAATCTGAAGAATCATTTTTGCGACATTTTTATTTGCTGTTACATTGCATGTCTAGATAAATATTTTTAGTCTTCTATCAGTGCCTTTAAATGGAGCCCTTTGTAAAGGGACTCTGCCTTTTTAATATTAATTGATTCCTTAACAATATTAATAATAGTTTATACATTCTAGCACTTCAAGTTGATATGACAATTATTCTTTACTATTAGCTTTAGTATTTTAAGCAATTACATTCATTTAACTCTGAATGCTAGAATTAATAATTAAGTGACATGTTTCATATTATATTTGATATATCGGTATATGTCGGGAACATGGCAATAGGCACAAGTGAGGAGTCTATTAAAAATTACTTGAAAAATAAACTACCAGAAAAAAATTTTGAAGTAAAAAGTCTTCCAAAAAAAGAAAATTCCAGGAGTGTAGCATTTACCGTTGGAACTGAGTTTGATAATATAGCCACATTAAAAGATCCAAAAAATTGGCCCGAAGGGATTTTAATAAAAAACTTTAACTTTAAAACTTTTTTTCGTATCCAAAATCAGCCAGCAAATCTCTAATAATAAAAATGTAACTAAAAATGTATCCAATAACAAAGATAATTTAAATATAATTCATTTAAATATTCAAAGTCTAAATAACAAACTTGAAGAGATAGAACTTTTTTTGAAAGACGAAAAACCGGACATTGTATGTTTTTCTGAGCATTGGCTGTCAAAACAGGGTATATTGTTTAAGAAAATTGACAACTTTAACCTTATTTCTGCATTCTGTAGAACAAACTATATTCATGGAGGAACCTGTATATATGCAAAGGAAAATATCAAATTTGAAGAAATACCAGTGCAATCAATTGAAAAAATTTGTGAGTGTAGTGCTGTGAAGTGCTCAGAATATAATCTGTTTATTGTTTGTGTGTATCGGTCACCAACAGCTGATTTTTCAGAGTTTTTATTAAGTTTCGAGTATATTCTTCTAAATTTAATCACTAAAAATAATGAATCAATCGTTATTCTGGGCGATTTTAATGTAAATTTCTTAGATAACGATTGTGGATTTAAGAAAAATCTTTTAAATTTGGCATACAGTTTTAACTTAAGATCAACCATTAATGAGCCTACACGAGTAACAAATTCTACAAAAACACAAATCGACAATATTTTTTACGAACATTCACTTGTCATATTTTACTTCTTCAGTAATTCATACAAATTTATCAGACCACTTTGCTGTTAAGTTTTATTTTAGACATAACGTAAGCAAAAAAGATATAAGTACACATTTTAGAAGAATATACTCGGAACAAAGTATAGGGGATTTTATGAGCCAATTGTCTGAGCTTGATTGGAATGTTGTTTACAATTGTGTAGATCCTAATATTTCTTTTGATGCTTTTCACTTTGTTTTTAAAACCAGATTTGATACTTTTTTTCCAAAAAAATATTACAAAAATAATGAGTTTTCGACAAAACTGCCATGGATCAACAATAATATAAAAAGACTGTCACAATTAAAAAGGGAAATGCATCAAAATTTAATTAATTGTAAAAATAATATTATCTATCCTTTTTTAAAAAATAATTTTAATACAATTTCTAAGACTTTAAAACTAGAATTAAAAAATGCAAAGTTTCAATACAATAAAACTTTGATAGAAAATGCTTCAAACAATCAGCAGCAAATGTGGAAAATAATAAATAAAAATAAAAATTTAGTTCCTAAACGCAAAAATATTATTTTAGAGAAGGATAATACTGTCATAAATAGTCCATCACAAGTAGCCAATGAATTTAATTTGTTCTTTGCCAATATAGCAGATACTCTCAACTTGCCATCTCCAAAACTTAGTGCCAATAATATTATTTGCGTTAACTCAAATTTGTTTTTATATCCTTCAGATGCTTATGAAATTTATAGCATTATAAATAATTTGAAAAACAAAAAATCTACTGGTTGGGACGAAATTCCAACCATCATTATCAAAAGATGCGCACACATAATAGCGAGTCCTCTTAGCCATATTTTAAATAATTGTTTTTTAAGTGGAATTTTTCCAGATTGCCTAAAGATGGCTATTGTTAGTGTTTTGCACAAAAAGGGCTCTGAAAGCGATATAAATAATTATAGACCTATTTCATTACTGCCAATTTTCTCAAAAATTTTTGAAATTGCAATATCTACAAGGCTTATGAAATATTGTAATAAATATAGCATAATTTCAAAACACCAATATGGATTCGTAAAAAACAGCAATACGGAATTGGCAATATTTAATTTGGTTGATCAAATCATGAGCTTATGGAATAGTAAAACACTGGCAATATCGGCCTTCTTTGACTTATCCAAAGCCTTTGATACCATCGATAGGCATCTTTTGGAGATTAAGTTAGAAAAATATGGTATAAGAGGCACTGCCCTAAATTTGTTTACATCATATTTAAGCAGCCGGAAACAAATGGTAAAAATAGCATCAGATAATGGGTTGGAATGGACTTCCAACACTGTGAATTTAAAAAACGGAGTTCCTCAGGGATCAATTCTTGGTCCTCTGCTCTTTATTTTGTATGTTAATGATTTGCCCCAATGTAATAGCAATATTTTTATGTATGCAGATGATACAGCTGCAATTTATAAGTCTCCTACACTCAATAATCTACTAACAACTATTTATTCAACACAAGAAAATATATTCCAGTGGTTTCAAAACAATGGCCTTAAATTGAATATGGACAAGACAAAGTATATAAAATTCGGAGAGTATGGGTTTACCGAAAATACAATTAATATTAATAATAAATACACAGTTGAATTAAGTAAGTCAGTTAAATTCTTAGGTGTTATCTTGGACAATAAATTTTTATGGAAAGATCAAACAGATAGTTTGTTAAAAAGAATTAACAAGTATCTTTACCTATTACTAAATTTAAAGTTTATCGTTCCAAGAGCGGTACTATTAAATGTATATTATGCCTTTGTCTATTCCAATTTAAAGTATGGCATAATTTTTTGGGGCAATTCATCTCATACAAAGGATTTATTTGTTTTTCAAAAAAGAATTGTGAGGTGTATTTTTAATTTGGAATTTGGCGAATCATGTAAACAAACATTTATAAAAAATAATTTACTTACATTACCAGATATTTATATATTTGAAACGCTAATGTTCTACAAAAAAAATTGTTTTCTTTTTGGTAACACTAGTAGAGAACATTCATACTCTACTAGAAACAAAGATTTGGCGTTAATTAATCAAACCAGGATCCACACTGTTTACAAGGGTGTTCAAAATTTTGCCTTGATTTTATATAATAAATTACCATCAACAATAAAAGATCTAACTTTGAAGGAATTTAAACGTTGCTTAAGAGCCTATCTTGTAAGCAGATGTGATTACTGTGTTAATGATTTTTTTAGTTAAGAGTTTTTGATGTTTATAGTTTTGTTGTTTATAGTTTTTGACGTGTTCTATATTGTATGTATTGCAATTTTTTTTTTTGAACAAATAAACATCTATCTATCTATCTATCTATAAAAATTATAAAAGTATTATATTAAATAAAAGTTTTTTTCAAATGTTTGATTTTTATTAGTACCTACCTATAATAGGGGTTAATTTTTAAAGGCGCAAAATTTTAAAAATATTAAAATTTGGTAGTGAAAATGTCGTCGAACATATTATAACTTTATTTACTTAAAACAAGGCTTCCAAAATTAAATTTAAACAATTTAAGATTTTTAAACAAGTTCTGCAAATTTGTTTATACTTCCCTTTAATTTCAATGAGTTATAAGTTCAAAATTTTCTAGTTAACTTATGGTCATTTAAATTGTGGTATACAAAATTATTATATACCTACCTCCTTTTGAATTAGTGTGATCCCTGTTAACTCTTAGCAACAAATGCTTGGATACTGTTAAAAGATTTACGTGGGCTAGTTATGACGCTAAAAACAAATTCTCCAAGGATTTAGGAAAGAATGAAAGAAACTCGGACTTCCATTCGAATGATCCTGTCCGATTTAATATCAAAGAACTTTTAAACTCCGGACTTTTAATGCATAAAATGCAAATATGTTTCTTTGCGGTCGCCATGCGAACCCCTAGAGATTACCGCCGATACTTTTTAAGACCTTAAGATTGTATAAAAGCTTGGGTCTTGTTTATCCTAAGCACAGATCCACTTTGACCATCGCCGAAGAATCTTCAAACTATGGCTTTTTTGTAAGTATCTATAATAATTTGTTGCACTTAACTTGTCATCTAAAACTACCTACTATAATGTTTCTCTTCAAAATCTTTTCAAATGTTTCCAATGTCTTTTTTCTCTACAAAAATTTGTGAAAAAAACTGTGTTTTTCCACTTTTGGGTGAAAATATCTAGAAAACCTGTTGTGATGGAGCAATAACTTTAAAAATATAGTAAATTTAAAAGTAAACTACGTACACGTCATCAATCAGCTGATCGGGCACGGTTGTCAATGTGATGCTAAAATCCTTGCATCAAGGGAAAGTGGTAGTGCAACTACAGGGCGATAGATGGCGTTTACATGAATAATACCAAAATGTCAAAAGTCTGAGTTTTTATAACCTATATGATGCACCGCCAAAAGTATGTTTTTAGCACAGGTCTGTGGTTTTTAGCCATTTTTAAAGACATTTTCTGATATAAAACCCAAAAATTTTGCCATCTAAAGTCAGTATCTGGTATATATATTATTATTTCATGTATCCAACATATATTTTGTTAAATATTCTAATATATATTAATAATAATCCTATTTACCTCTCTAACAGCTGTTAAAGGTAACAAAGGTCCATTATTATCCCGTTCTGCCTCAAAATAGCGTATTAAGGATGACACCAACTCTTGACTCCGACTATTTAAATGCTTCGGCATTTTAAATATAGGAAACACAAAAAACGATATATAACAAACACAAAAACGGCAATGAAAACTTAAACGATATAAAATAACACAAACAACAAACAAAATAACCGAAATAATACACGAATTAAACGAAATATTCAAAAACACAACTGACAGCTTCGAAATTCTAAAACGTCAAATTCTTTTTTATGTGTCATTTAAATATGAAAAATTTGAATGTAAACATGACAACATCACAATTGTTGCCAACTTAATTTGGTTAAAATGCATTCAAATATTCAATTACAGACTTCGATTTAGTCATTTAGTGTTGGTACCAATGCGTAAAATTTTTGTTTTATTGATGACGTGTACGTAGTTTACTTTTAAATTTACTATACCTATTGTATGTTCTATAGAAATGTGTAATTTATTTAAAAAATTATATAATTTGTTCCAAGGCTATCTAGAATTTTTGTTGCCACCACTTTGATGGTCCTTTTCTCTTCGTGGGTTTTTATGGATGGTGCGCAAGCGCAGGTCACTTTTTCCAGAGACTGGAACCCAGGAAAGAGGAACATCGAAAACTTTAACGAATTACGCGCTGCTTCCAAATCGGTCAATGCAATATGCCATATGTTAATTGTAAGTATATTTTTTTAAACTAAAATGTACCACTAAAATAGTTTTATTATGCTAGGTGTACTGAAAAAACGAGTATTTTTTAACAAACTGTCAAAAAATACATCTGTCAACCATGTTAACCATTTTGGGATGTGCAATATTTCGCAATATTATCAAAAAATACTTGTCAGTTGTATCTGTCAGTTTTATGCTTGATATTAATCTAAATCAATATTTATATACTATAGTACTTATATATGCTCCACATCACAAGGTCCCACCTTGACATTTGAATACAAATAATTAAGGTTATCTATCTGCCACTTTGGTAATTCTAGGATATAAATTATTCATTTGGAACAACTTTTTCTTTATACATTTTCCTAAAGTGTGGAAAAAAATCGTTTAAAATAAAAAATTGACAACGCAGCATGATCAGGTAGCGTACGCTACACTACTACGTAGTGCATGATATAAATAACCTCAATTCTACTGTCATTGACAGATACCCAACCTCAATTCTACTAAAATTGACAGATACCTAACCTTAATTTTACAATTCAACTAGCTTGCTAGCGCTCGATGCCAGTGTTTTCCATAACACCATTAATGTATTTTTAGTGTTCTAAATTTAGCCCTTTAGACAAAAAAATTCATAATAGTATATTATGCATCAAGTTTGATAAACGCCATTTTATACACGAATTTAATTTAGTCACGAGCGAGCTTGCGAGCGAGTGCTTAAGTTAATGAGGGTATAGAAAAGTTTATAAACGAGGTGCATACTATACTTTTTTATTATTATCTTAAAATAATTTAAATCAAAAATTTGTATAGAGCGCCATCTATGAAACAACATGGGAAACTGTCAAATGTCACATTTTTATATTTTATAAACACAATTATACAGGTTATAAATCGAAATGTATCTTGAAAATTGACAGTTTTTCACAGTGAAAGCTTTCTAGTAAAGGAAATGTTTTACTAGGAAATGCTTACTAGTAAAGGAAATGTTTTATGAGGACTTTACAGTAGTCCGTGCCTGAATTTAAATTATAGTTTACTGCCGGCGAAATTAAAAGGTCAGTACAATGTTCATATAAACTTTTCAAATATTGGCGTTGAGAAACTATTTAATATTTTTGTATTGAGATAATAAAATAATTTTCACATTTAGTATTATTTTACAAGAAAGGCACTTTATTTTAACGATTGTATGACATTTGACAACTGTCAACTAACTTAAAACTAACTTCAGCCCGTGACTAAAGCGCCGTAAAGCCACAACTTGTCAATGTGCATTTATAAGGTCACTTAATGTCATGGAAACATGTACGATAAAGGGCGTTTTAAAGGTGGGAGTAGAAAATTTTTATTATTTTTAGAAAATAAGAAAAAATTTGCAGAAAACTGACAGATAACCTCATTTATTTGTATTCAAATGTCAAAGTGGGACGTTTTGATATACAGTTCGTTTTTTTTATTCGGAATTTGACAACGTCAAAAATTTGGGGGTTTAGTTAGCAAATTCTAGGGACCCTAAATTTATAATTGGCTAAAATGAGTAGAACAAACTATAGTGTAGTGTATAATTGTGGTTATGTTATAATAATTATAACATGACCACAATTATAATTATAATTATTATAAGATATAATAATTATAACATAACCACAATTATACGAGTAATTATAATTATTATAAGAAAATGTTTATAAATTTTCAAATGTAAAATATTAAAAAGCAATAGACCTATCCCATAAAACAGACTTTTGGATAGCGCGTGCCTGAAGAAGAGTGGTATCTCTTTCTCTTTTATATAATTAAAAAAAGACGACGTGCTTTTCACGCACGCGCTATCCAAAAGTCCGTTTTATGAGATAGGTCTATAACTTTTAGAATTATTGCTTTTTTAACATTTGACATTTTAAAATGTATAAACATTTTCTTATAATTATAACATAATCACAGTTACCTTTGATGAGATATTATATTATAATTCTGACAGTTAAATGTCAAAAGTATTTCCCAATTAGGGACTGTCTACGTCTCCTACTAGTAGGATTTATAGCCTGTTCGCTAAATATCCGACTAATAGGACAAATAGTAGTAAGGCTAAATATCCTACTATTATTCAGAATTCGGCAATAAATAATTGTCTATATTCTGTATACAGAGCTAGTTAAATATTTTCATTAAGAACCTATTTAGGTATTTTTCGAAGATCAACATGAAAAATGGAGATCGGTTTTCATGTTGGATTGCCAAGGTTATGATGATTAGCTGTCATCTTGGTTATGCAAGTACACTGCATTGTGCCATAACAAACCAACCCAAACTTAACAACCCAACCCAACCGACCCCGCCCCATTGGGCCCCCCTCCCCATTGGGCAATAGAGGTATAATATATCTAAGGGCAGGCTGGATTGTGACAATGGGACGGAGGGGAGGCCAATGGGGCGGGGTCGGTTGGGTTAGGTTGTTAAGTTTGGGTTGGTTTGGAATGGCACAATGCAGTGTACCTGCGTAACCACAGTTACATTAAAAAGTAAATAAAAGCACAAAACAGCCCCACACCCATAAAACTAATGAACAAAACGCTGGGCAACGTCCGCCTCAGACGTGGAAATAGGATTTTTCACGTCCGACGTACAAATAATAATTGACACGTCGGACGTGTAAATAGCCACTGCGAAATTAAATCTCTTTATAGGTATAACCTATGTATTTACATAATATTGTGTACTTGCCTTGTAGTACGCTTTCCAGTCGATTTACTTTTATATTTTCTACCACCACTACAACAAGTATACGTAATCCTTATTGGCCTTCTGTACTCGTTTTGGCAAGTTTTTTTTAGCAGAAATTAATGTTCATGAATCTTTTTTATACAATTGTACAAAGTTTTGATCTTCATACTTCTTTATAAATGTCTGTATCTCGAAGAAGGAATTGAATTTCTCTCTAACGTTGCAATCCATTATAATTTAATTATTGCAGTCAAACAAATGGTGTAAAAACCTAAACTAACCTCACTTTTGAGTGTTGTTTTTGCCGAATTCGGAATAATAGTAGGATATTTAGCCTTACTACTATTTGTCCTATTAGTCGGATATTTAGCGAACAGGCTATAAATCCTACTAGTAGGACACGTAGACAGTCCCTTAAAATTAAGGGCTTGACCAGAAATACCAATTTTAAATATTAAAATTACCCAAGTAGGTTTATTAAATTAATATTATTAATATACCTACTCAAATGTTCCAAATTTTAAATTAAAAAAACGAACTTCATAAGACCCAGGAGGTAATTTAGTCTCTGAATTTGGTACCACTGACTACTTTTGACTATGTTTTTTTTTATTTTTAATATCATTTATAAATATATTTATTTGCTTTTTTTTAGAACCAAATAAGACAAATGGTATCTGAAGATGAACTTCCTGGTCTTTCTAGACAATAATTACCCAACTAATAATTATATAATAGTTTTGTTACTACCGAGAATTTGGACTGTTGAATAGACGTCATGGACATGCTCTTGACGTCAATTTGAAAGTCCAAATGCTCAGTAGGAACAAGCCTAATATAATTTAATATACATATGTTACAATACACTAGAGGCTGGACTTAAATAGTATAAATGTAGAATAAATTAGTATATGAATAACAAATTGTATTATTATTATTTTATTAACCCGCCCTTTAACTAGGTACATTTTTAAAAGCGCTGCCGTAGCTAACGCAAACCCTTTCGGTTTGGCAACACTGCAATCGCCAAACCCATCACTCAATAATTAAATGCAAACAAACAGAAACTTTAATAACAACAAACCGGTAACTGAAAACGTTTAACGCTCAAATTTAACTTAAAATGAACACATCGCTAACATTTGAAGTGCTTTTATACCTTAATTCCTATTATTTTGGTTTATTTGCGGTTTGTGAGATTGGAATGAATATTGTAAAATACATAAATTTTACAAATTTAGAACACTTTTCCGTCGATTTTGGAATACTTATGGCTGTGTGCGTTATAGAATTTTTCCGTGTTATTTTAGCCAGAGGGGGGAACCTTATAGAGAGAAGTATGCTTCCAATTAACAATTTTTAACATCATAGGCAATAATTTTATTTTTTTTTAGAATGGCCTGTATTTATCGCAATTTTACTAACAATCCCTTCCCTCATTGGAGTTCTTTATTTGGTATTGTGGCAAACCGAAGTTCTTCGATTCGAGTACATAATATGCGCGATTCAAATGACTTTACAAATCGTCGAAATTATTACTGGCATTCTGTGCCTATTACCATTCTGCAAGACTCCTGAATATTATTAATTAAGCCAATTTTTACCATCTGTTTCTATCAAAATAAACCGAAATAGTATTATAGACGCCTTGTTTACTTTTAGTTTAGTTACACCTGGTCTCACTTATTGAACGATTTGCGCGGATCAATAAGTTGAAATATCACGGAAGTTTGAATTCAAGGTTTGAACAGCACGACAGGTGATTGGTTGGATTTATGGGCGTCCAGTGTTGCTAAGCATGCCAAAAAGTTCATTTTATCCATTTTCTATGTTTTAAACAAATATGTACTGTTTGGACATTTATTTTTATCATATATCCACAACTTATAAATATATAGTTTTTTTTAATAATTTGTGAGATTTAAAAACTAATTAAAATAAAATATTTAAAAATAACATTTTTAATTTTGGCAACACTGGTAACAAGACGTCAATTCATCTGACATATTTAACATAACCTAAAAGACAAAATAAAGTTTTTTTCCATGCATAGCGCTTGCTCTCATTCGCTCTGACCTACCCGCTTTGCATGGCTACGCCTTACACATAAAACCTAATACCCAAATTCCTTTTTACCAGCACGTTAACAGCCAACATACTACCCCGGATAACGCCTAAGAATCCAGACCACTGGCTGATATGGTTTACACAGACCAAGGCCAATAAATAAAAAAGAAGAAGAAGAAGCATAGCGCTTTATTTAGGTAAAAATGGACGAAGTGGATAAACATAATGGGAATTTTAATACACAGCACGATTTATATTTGCAAGAAATCGAGGGAATTGATGATTACTGGGGTCCCACATTTAGGTGGGTGTATACAACTTTACAGGTCTAGATTTCATGATGATTTGTTAATAGGGCCATATACGACAACGGTGAACATGTAGAGTTCCGCAAAAAATTGGAATCTAGGATTAAAGATCATGATAAAGACATTGAAAGACTTTGTAATGTTTACTACCAAGGTTTTATTGAATCTGTGCGAGAGCTACTTGAAGTCAGATCCAAAGCCAAAAAACTAAATGTATAGTACTTATATAATTTTTTCCTGGTGTTGTTTTTATTTTAAAACTATTGTAGAATGAGGTTGTATTTATGGATGAAAATTTGCATGAAGCAGCAAAAAATGTTACTAAATCGGGTAACGAATTGCTTAAGGCTAGACAGGTTCAAAGTAATATAGCTGTTGTTATAAAACAGTTGAATTTGTGTTTGCCAGTTTTAACAACCTACTCGAAGCTAAAGAAGCAGATATCAGAAAAAAGGTACATATAAAAATTTATAATTTATGTTTTTTTTAAATAAATATGTTTAAGATATTATCCAGCCCTAAAAACTTTGGAGGAAATGGAACATGTTCACCTACCACAAATTATTAATTATAGATTTTATTCACAGTTGAGAGAAAGTATTCCCAAGTAATATTTGCTTTTTTTTCTTTGATTTTATGATGAAAAAATTGTATTTTAGAATAAGGGAAAGTATCGAGCAAGCTTCCATGTCAGATTTAAAAGACTTTTTAGAAAATATTAGGAGATTCTCGCCCAAGATTGGAGAGGTTGCAATGAGACATGTAAACAATTATTCACTTTTAAGTAGTAGGTTTTAATACAATTATTTTGTTGTTGAAAATTTTAGACCAGTGAACAATTGGCCAGCGATCCGACTGTAATAGGAAGGAAAAAAAAAAGAAATGCTCATCAGCCAGGTAAGTACATGAATATTTTTTAATCTAGATTTCATATTTTTTATGTCAAAAATGCCAAAATACTTGGTTTGTTTTTTATTTATTCCTAATTTGGGGGTTTAGTTGGCAAATTCAAGGAACCCTAAATTTGCTACATTGAGTAGGTCAAACTAGTTTAGTGAAGAATATAATTTTGGTTATGTTATTATTCTTATAAAAATACGTTATTAAATTTTAAAATATCAAATAATATTACTAATAAGTTAGAAAATGCAATAATTTTACCTTTGATAAAATATAGGAAACTTTACATTACAAATAGGTACTCATGTATGTTTATTATAATTCTGACAGTTAAATGACAAATGTCAAAAGTATTTTTTCTACTCCCACCTTTAAAACGCCCTTTATCGTACATGTTTCCATGACACTAAGTGACCTTTTAAATACATATTGACAAGTTGTGGCTTTATGGCGCTTTAGTCACGGGCTGAAGTTAGTTTTAAGTTATTTGACAGTTGTCAAATGTCATACAATCGTTAAAATAAATTGCCTTTTTTGTAAAATAATACTAAATGTGAAAATTATTTTATTATCTCAATACAAAACTTCAGTATTAAAGTATTAAATAGTTTCTCAACGCCAATATTTAAAAAGTTTACCTTTTAATGCCATTTTAAACATGAATTTAATTTAGGCACGAGCTAGCTTGCGTGCGAGTGCTTAAATTAATGAGTGTATAGAAAAGTTTAAAAACGAGGTGCATACTATACTTTTTCCACGAAAAATACTTATTAATATTATTTTAAAATGATTTAACGGCCATTTCAAGCGCGCGAAACACACGAATTACAAAACTGTTTTTAGAAAAAAAATTGTAGATAATTTATTATATAATATTTTGGCATCAAAATTGTCAAAAATATTCTTCTTTTATTAGGTTATACATTAAATTTAAAAAAACGCAAGAAATATTTTATGAAAGTAGAAATAATTTTAATAATTGAAAGGTGTGGACGGGACAAAAAAAAGATTTATCTTGTCCCATCCACCCCTGTCAATTATTGAAATTATCTCTACTTTTATAAAATATTTCTTGCGATTTTTTTAATTTAATGTATAGCCTAGTAATAGAAGAATATATTTGACAATTTTGATGCAAAAATAATATGTAATAAATTACCTACAATTTTTTTTATAAAAACAGTTTTATGATTTGTCCCGTCCATCCGCTTGAAATGGCCGTTAAATCAAATATGTATATAGAGCGCCATCTATGAAACAATAGGGGAATCTGTGTGTCACCGTCAAATGTCAAATTTTTCTATTTTATAAACACAATTATAAAGCTAGCTTATAAATCGAAATGTATTTCTTGAAAATTGACAGTTTTTCACAGTGAAAGTAAAGAAAATGTTTTATGAGCACTTTACAGTGGAGTCCGTGCCCGAATTTAAGTTATAGTTTACTGCCGCCGAAATTAAAAGGTCAGTACAATGTTCATATAAACTTTTCAAATATTGGCGTTGAGAAACCAGGTATTTAATACTTTTGTATTTTTGTATTGAGATAATAAAATAATTTTTACATTTAGTAATATTTTACAAGAAAGGCAATTTAGTTTAACGATTGTATGACATTTGACAACTGTCAAATAACTTAAAACTAACTTCAGCCCGTGACTAAAGCGCCATAAAGCCACAACTTGTCAATGTGTATTTAAAAGGTCACTTAGTGTTATGGAAACATGTGCGTTTTAAAGGTGAGAGTAGAAAAAATATTAAAAATAATTCAGTTGGTACATAATCAAATGTGTCAAATCCCGAATAAAAAAAACAAACTGTACTTACAAAAAAGAACCTTGGAATGACAAGATTCCAAGTGCAGCTGCCCTGATAAGCGAAAATGACTTATCTACAATATTAAAAATGCACCTTAAGGTTGTAATGACAATAATTGTCTTCTTGCACATACAATTTTTATTGTAGGTGAACACACTGCTTCATATTCAGAGGAGGACCTAAGCGCACAAGAACTAATCGATTTTTCGCCAATATACAGGGGCTTACATATTTTCACTGTTTTAAAACGATCTTCGAATTATGAGACCTACTACAGAACCGAAAGAACTAAACAAGCCAGGCTTGTGTTGCAACCACCAACTAATATGGTTTTATTAATGAGTTTAACGCATTTTTTACTGTAATTGAAATTTATAATTTTAGCACGAATCGGAGGAAAGTTACAGAATGTACATCCATGCAGTTTTGGGATTTTTTATACTTGAAGATCATGTTTTAAATACGGGTAAAGGCTTGATAACCAGAGCTTTTCTGGATGACATGTGGAACATGGCCCTCTCTAAAATCGTAACCGCTCTTCAGACGCACTCGGTAAGTAATGTCCCCAGTAGCAATTCCGGAAAAGTCTTGGCCAGCATGGGTCAAGATACTTTGGACAGATTTTTGCTCAAGAATTGTACAAGAATTGTTCCAGATTCTTGGCCAAGATTATTGGGCAAGACTGTGGCCAGAATTTGACAAGAAATCGGAGGCCATCTATTGCTAAACTTTGGGACTATCCTATAGAGTAGAGGTTCTCATTCTACAGTAGAATCATTCACAATAATATATACTAGTCGAGAAGTGAGTTCTCTGTAGGAAATGAGTATAGTTTTTTTGTTTATGTGAAAATACGAATAAGAGCTTATTGGATTCGTCTTCTAGCTAAGAAAAAAAATTGATTTTTTGAAAAATAAAAATTGTTATTTCTAAAAATCAAAAATTAAAAATAAAGTGTGTGTCAGCTCTGACGCATAACTAGAGTTTACTCTTTATGAACATGAAAGATTATAAAATACATGTTTATTTTTACGGGCACCTGGTTTTTTTTACATAGAAAATTAAAAACTTTAACTCTTTCAAAATTTGTTTCGTTTTTAATTCTATTGTTTACCAGATTTATGGATAAAAACCGAATTTACTGGAAAGAAATCGTGGAAAATTAATGTTTTTAATAACATTCTTAACTTTTGAAGTTCAACAAAATTTTGTATTGACCAAAAATCTTGAATTGAAAGTTCCTATTTAACGTGTAATCGTGTAAAATTTCTTGGCCAAGAATTTGGTCAAATTCTGGTCACAGACTTGTCCAAGTCTGCCACCAGTCTGGATAAAGAATTTTGATCAAGAGTCTTGGTCAAGAATTGTCCAATTCTTTACAAAGTGCTTCTCCAAGTATCTTGACAAAGAATCTTGTCCAATTCCATTGCTACTAGGGGTGGCAACACTGCGTCGATAAAAAACAGTTGAAACTTTTAGGCGTACTGCACAGATGCCACGTTGATTCTGCGCATAAAAGATTTGATCATGTTATTTTGCACAACGTTGAGGAACTACGGATACAGCGTTAAGCCCTTGTGGGAGTTGGTTAGAGAGTTAAGGGATCATTACACGGAAGTTTTGATGCAACGCTGGGTGCAAGTTTTTAGAGAAGTGCTCTCAAAAGAGGACTTTCAACCTATCGGGGTAAGTTTATGTACATAGTACATACTAAAATACAGTTTGAAGATACTGTACCGACTAAAATTTAAAATTTTGGTCCACTTCATGGCACATGAAAACAAGGTATGTTCTTCAGTAGGACGAATTTTGGTTCACTTTGCGCAACTCCCAGTTACCGCCATCTTAGTTCATTCCCGCCTTTGAATTTAAATGGTATTTTAAAATTAATTATTATTTTCTTTTGAAATTTATCCAAATTTCTTTAAAATTATTCGATTTTTAGTTTAAGTTGTCGCATAAATATATTGTTTTAACACGTTGAGTAAATAATATTTACCAAATCCCAATTAAAATATATGAAAAAAGTGCTTTATTTTAGTTTTTATTTTAAATGTTTTATATAATGGGTTTTCAAATAAAATATCTTGTTTTAAAATCCTGAAAGTCATGATAAAGTCATGGATACAAATTTTAAGCATGGAAGTCAAGGATTTTGGTTAAAAATTACCAAAAGTCATGATTTTCACTAAAGAGTCTTGATTTTTGTTACAAATAATATTTTTACTACTCATTTATAAATATATATGGAAATAAAGGAGTTGGAACTTAAAAAACTTAATTTGGATATAATAAAGAATTGGAGTAAATTAAAACATAAATCAAATCTATAAATAAGATTTAGCAGATACTGTTTTGTGCTGTGTTTTTTTGTTTTTATTAGAATTTTTATTTTGTTTATTTTAACCCTGTCAAATGTTTTCAATAAAATAAAATATCCTGTTTTAAAGATAATATAACAGGGTTGCCACTCATCTGGAAAACCTGGAAATGTCAGGGAATTTAAATTTTTTAGAAATATCAGGGAATTGGCAAAAAAATCAACAAAGTCAGGGAATTCCTAAGTCGGTCAGGGAATTGGATATTTATAAATAAAACTGGTCAACAAAATTTTCATTAAAAAAAATTATGTTAACGAGTGTAATTTAGCAGCGCTATATTTCAAACTTATCACTATATCCTTAGAAGTCTATATCACGACTTATCACTATAACCTTTTAAGACTATTACCAACTATTTTTATGTTTATGGTGATTAATATTTCTTTATTTTGTAATTAATAAACTAATTAATTAATCAGTAAAAGCATATTTAATTAATTAATCAGTAAAAGACTTTTAAAAATCATAGTTCCTGTTGATAAAAAACCGTTTCAAGCCAAATGATGATTTGCAAGCAGTCATAGGCCACATAAAAAGTGCGGGCCATTAAAAAAGGATTTCGGCAATGAAGAACACAAATTTGTCAAATAATCTAAAAAAAAAAGAAACAGATGGAAAATACTACTCTCTAAAAATAAATTAGTTAAAAATGACTAATTGTCATAGCGAAAAAGCGGCCACTAATAGTTCTAGTCAACAGCAATTTGTATCCCGGATATTTAGCAGTCAATTCCTATGTAAAATTGTCTGCTGAATCCGAATATGTCGTCAAAAGTTATAAAAGTAGGACAGTTTTTAAGATTTATTCAATTTTCCATATATATAGAATTGCCTATATCTCAAAAACTGCTATGACGGTCTTTTCGGATTCATCGATAATTTTACATGAGAATTGGCTGTTAAATGTCCTGGATACAAATTGCTGTTGACTACAGTTATTATATTTCACTATAAAATATGTCATTTTTGACTAATTCTTTTTTAGAGAGTATGCTTGAAAAAGTAACAGTTTTACAGGATAATATTAATAATAATATTGCTTTAGAAAATAACCAGAATAAATCAATTTCTTCAATAAAAACTGCAAAAAATGATAAAAGAAATTAAATCTTTTTATTTTGTACTATCAAATATTTACTGATAAGAACTCATTAACTTGATAAACAAGACCTGCCGCAGACAAAATTTCATTATTTCTGATATTTTCAGATTGAACAGAAAATTAATGTAATGAAAACCCAAGAAGCAAAAACCTAAATTAAAACTTATCCCGGAAAAAATAGCTACAGAAAATTTTTGGGTTTTTTTGTAATAAGAAGTATTGATTTTTTGTTAATGTTTTTGAATTTTATAAACTTCAATAAAAGTTTACTTTTTTAATTAATCGTTATAATTAAAATTAGAGAAAAATAAATTCAAGTATTACATAATTGCTTTGATTTTTTTTGTATATTTTTAATGATAAGCTTTACTTACTTTTGCTGACAAAGGGAAGGTGGGGTTAAACATTACAATATTACTGCTTACATACTGCTTATGTCATATTTTGCTTCCTAGTTTTGTCCTATTTCTTGTACACTGTAAAAAGAACTATGATTTATATTGATTAATTTTTTCAAGCCCATACTAAAGAAATATATTGGATTTACAGGTTTTTTTCTTTTGCCATTGTTTTTACAGATTTTCACTTGGCAGGTAGACATTTTTTACATTTACAAAACTCTAAAAATAGCTTTAAAAACAGCTCACATCAAAATGTAAATTGTCAATATGGCGGCGGCTGGGTGCTCCCACCTCTTCGCCAATCTGATGGAGTGGTGGAAACAGATGCGCAAGAACATACCTTGTTTTTTTGTACCATGGTCCACTCCAACTTTTATAAATGTTTTTACCAAGGTGTTCAGTCAAGAAGAATTCGACAACATTTTGTCGTCGTTTCCCTGGGAAGGAGATATTCCCGACGACATCGTATTCCCGTTTTTCTTTCCGTTTTCCAGCATGGTGCCCACAGTGTATCAGCAAGTGAAGGAGTTCATTTATGCTTGCCTTAAATTTTCCGAAGATTTGAATCTTAGGTATATAATATACACGGTGCTGTTCTGAGAGGTGATTTTTGGACTTTCTGTGAAACCTAATTTTTTTTTATATTCTTGTTAATTAGGTCATAACTAAAATTTTAAGAGCAAAATAAAAAAATTTGACGGTTTGAATTGTTTTAATTGGCTGTTTATTAAAAATATTATGCACTCTTTCAATTATCCAATTAAAACTAGCGATTTAATTTAAATATTTAATATTTGCATAACTAAAAAAAAGGTTTTTACAATTTTTTTTATATATTTTACTGTTTTGTTGCAATAAACGTTCAAACTTTTAATCTAACCTTTGACGTATACATTTATGTTCCCTTAATTAATATATCCTTAAAGGTTGCCATGAAACTTAGATCTATTAAAAATTTATTTGACGTTTTCAGTATACGTATTCTATAATTTTTGTTTAGTTTTTTAAAGTGTTTTTTATAAACAAAAATAAAAAATTGTAGTAAAAGTTACGAAGAAATTCATGAAATTTAACTAAGGACCGGTTTATTTATCTTTAGTAAAGTTTATCGGGCCGATAACTTTCATGTCTTGGCAATATCTAGTATCCAAAGAAATTATTCGTCAAATAAATCAAAAATGAATAAATCGGCCCTAAATAAAATGTGGCACCCTTAGAATTATTGTTTAATAAATGTATACTATATATTTAACCTTAAATTAAAACTTTAAACGTGTATTACAACAAAACAGTAAAAGATATAAAAAATGTATAGACCTTTTTTTAGGAAATTAACTAATCTTTAATCTGATTTAAAAAGTTATGATAATATTTAAATAAAATCGCAAGTTTTAATTGGAGAATTGAAAGTGTGCATACATATTTTTAATAAACATCCAATTAAAACAAAATTAACCGTCAAATTTTTTTTATTTTGTTCTTAAAATTTTAGTTATGACCTAATTAACATGAATATAAAAAAAAATTAGGTTTCACAGAAAGTCCAAAAATCACCTCTCAGAACAGCACCGTGTATATTATACAACATTTTTGCTTTTTGAGGTTGTTTTTTTACTACCATCAGTAATTTTTAGTCAAGTGGAAGTGGACGAAATGATAAGGAAATCCATGAATTTATTGTTAACCCGGACTTTCAGCGGGTGTTTGTCGTCGACGTTTAGAAGCCCGCACGTCAATTTGCAGGAAATTATACAAATTATTGTCGATACTGGGTATTTAGAGGAAGCCACGGTTTATTTGGATCAATTCATATCCAATATTACTGGGTAAGTTTTTAACGCGCATAAAGAGTTTTTAAAAACTGGCAACACTGTGTAAGAATAAGATAAAATTTTACACATCTAATCGGTTGTTATTGGAACAAACCAAATAAGCAAACTTTATTAAAACTTTATACATTATTTTTACAAAAAATACTTTTTTTAACGCTATAAAAACTATTAAAATTAATTATTTACAAAATATTGATATTTGCTTATTAATTTTAATGCTAGCTTTAATAATAAAATCAGTTTTACAGTCTAAAAATTATTTTTATGACAATACTATTCATTAATATTAAAACCAATAAAATGCCAGTAGGTAAGTATTCCATAGTTCCGCATTTTATCCCAGCGGCAATATTTTTTATCATCTTGTTTACACGTTACTAAGAATTTTGACACTTTTCTTGATTTAACATTTGCTGTCATTTAAATTCTGTGTTTGATATATATCAATAAAATAATGAATTATAAACTCTAAAAGATCGATGGGTTGGTGTAAACGATAATGAAATTAAGGTAAGTTTGAATAAATAAGGTTTATTAAAGTCTTTTTATATTTTAAAGCACATTTTAATTTTAAATGTCAATCTGACAAATTTTTTAATTCCTAAAATTCATTGTATTTTCTCACTAAATATAACTCGTGGTATGATTAATAATCGAAGATATTTACTCATTGAAACCGAAGCATCACATTTCACTCGTCCTGCGGACTCGTGAAATCTGCAGCTCGGTTTCAATTCGAAAATATCATCGATGATAATCATACCACTTGTTATATTATGGGTGACAATACAATTCATTATAATTAGAACCAATAAAATGCCAGTATGGTTACGCATTTTATCACAGCGGCAATATTTTTTATCATCTTGTTTACACGTTACTAAGGATTTTGACACTTTTCTTGATTTTACATTTGTTGACATTTATATACTGTGTTTGTTAAATGATTAAAATAATGAATTATAAACTCTAAAAGATCGATGGGTTGGTGTAAACTATAATGAAATTAAGGTAAGTTTGAACAAATAAGGTTTATTAAAGTCTTTTTAAATTTTACGCACATTTTAATTTTAAATGTCAATCTGACAATTTTTTAAATCCTAAAATTCATTGTATTTTCTCACTAAATATAACTCGTGGTATGATTAATAATCGAAGATATTTACTCATTGAAACCGAAGCAGCACATTTCACTCGTCCTGCGGACTCGTGAAATCTTCAGCTCGGTTTCAATTCGAAAATATCATCGATGATAATCATACCACTTGTTTGTTATATTATGGGTGAAAATATTTTCCCTTTTGTTTATTTTTGTAACATTTTATTCCTATAATTATTAGGTGTCCGTGAAATGCCTGTACAAAATGATACCACATATTTCTGAGAGCGAAATAATACGATATAACTATACAAAAGTTGATAATAACCAAGATACAGGGTACGCTACAAATTTAGTTACTGTCCAACTTTGTCATTGTTTTTCAAAATTTTGTTTTTAAATATTTTTTTAAAAATTAATCACAATTTAAACGCACGTCTGGAAATCGGTTCTTGGACCACATTTACAAGATGTACCTTTTTTGCGTAATAAAGATTAAAAAAGTAATATTTGTATTTAAACGTGAGAACGCCAATAAGATGTGACCATTTAAACATGCTAAGTGTCGCAGACAGCGCCCTCTAGAGGGCCTCTACAACCTACATTATTTTTTTTTAAATTAAATTTTCCGTCCTGAAAAATGTTCGAATATCAAATACTCTATGTATCAAATTTTGTACCGAAACGTTTGTTTTTTTTAATGTTATTTAATAAAATCAAAAACGAACTTTTAACTTGGTTATTATCAACTTTTGTTTTATTTTTTATTCAGGAAATATTTTTAAAAACAATTCGTTTCCTTAGTCGATTTGAGATGGAAAGACCCAATGATAATATCAATTGAATTTATAATATCATTTAAGGGAGGAGTCTCGCGGCGTGTCCTCCGGAATGGTGCAGGGACAGCCGGTGATGTTCAGAGTGGCCCGCGAAGACGCCGTCCGGCAAATCTGCGAAAAACTAGGGCAAAAACTGAACGCTTTCCTCGAACTGGAAAATTACGATTGGCTGCTGGTGGAGCCCACGGGTCACGCGTCAAGCTTCATATCGGACTTGATAGCTTTCCTGCAGACTACATTCCACAGTTTCACCAACCTGCCGGTAAGAAGTTTCGTTGCACTTCACAGCAAGTGTATAGGCAAGTGTATAGGATTACGCCACGTTTGAATACAGTTTTCTAAACCCTCGCCATGGTATAGAGTTGTATTCGTCAGTCGAGCATTTCAATACTCTCCACAGTATAGAGGTCGTAATTTGACTTTTGAACTAGTATTAATACGAAAATTATTTTATGCTTGAAAAAAAATTCATATACGACATGATTGTGATTTTTTTTTTTCATTTTATTAATTAGTTAAGCTGTTGAATATTGTTTATATAGGAATAATTGCCAATAGGCCATTAATTCATTTGTTCGTAAATGCTACAATCACCTGCACTGGTTTACTCTTTGATCAACCAGATTTAAATATTGCTGTACTAACATATGCCAGTGGAGATAGTGCAGGGTCTACCAACAGACCTTATTACTAAAATTAAACTTTAATTATTAAAGTTTAATAGCATATCGTTTTTTCAACATAACATCTGAAATTTTAAATACAATTTAATATATTTATATAATACATAAATATATCAAAATACTTCAAAATCCATCAAAAGATCAAAACTTGTTGCAATATTGAATTACACCCTTTTTTATGCTCTCAGAAATATTGATTAGAACATTATTCAAAATCCATCAAAAGATCAAAACTTGTTGCAATATTGAATTACACCCTCTTTTTATGCTCTCAGAAATATTGACTAGAACAGTATTAGAAAGACTCCAGTTTCTATAAGAGACCGTTGCGATATTGCATTGCGCTGTTTTTTTATAATTCCCGGGGACGATAACGAAAAAGTAAAATTCGAAAAGCTCGAGTTTTAATATATAATAAGATTCCAAAGTTGCTGCACCATTGAACTGCCCCCTTCTTTAATAATTTCTAGAGACATAAATGACAGCACCATTCGACAGGGTCGAAAGTAATGTTTCTTGTAAGACACCATTGAGTTTGACTTTAACTCTAATCGTGCATAGGTATAGAGGCAAAAATAAAAACAAAGCACGATTCAATACAGTCCCAAGCAGCATTTTTGGTTCCAAAAATCATTACCAAAGTGGTGATAACTTTAAATTAGTTAAGTATATATACTAAACAGCTACTTTAATTTTTACTTAAATTAATTCTAACTTTTAAATAGCAATATTTTGTAACTTCATTCTTTCCTTAAATGGTTACTATAAAGTAATAAACATTTAAGTAAAACTTAGTTGCCCCCAAGAAGACTTTGCAACTTTAAAAAAGGTGTTATAAGTAAAAAAAACTTTCAAGTAAATTTAATTTGTAGCAGTTACTTTATAATTATTTTTACTTTCTAGTCCCTTTGCAAGTTAAAATCTAGAAACTGGAACATGAGTTAAAAACTACAAATTTGTTAAGTTAATAACTCAAAAGTTATTATTTTAGTATTTGGAACGTTTATGGTTCTAACCAAAACTACCGTAAAGTAAGGTGAAAAAAACTTTAAAGTAGCGAAAACTACGAAAGAAAAATGCTTCTTATCGGCCATTTTTTACTGTACAGTACCACGTGGTAATGTAAATAATAAATTATTTTAATTGTTTTTAAATGGTTGTTTACTTTTTAATAAATAGTAATTTTGTTTGTAGTAGACGGTATTAATAATTAAATAAAAAATTAATAATAAATATTAAGATTTTTTTATTTATAAACATTATTAAATAAATAATTTGTTTATACTTAAATGTTGATGAAGCGCATTTATTTTACAAAAACTAAATTCATAAGTTCAACAGTAAAATTTAAAGGGTTTATAAATTATCCTGCCCAATTAAACATTATATTGTTATTCTGGAAGTTATAAACTACCAGTACATATTTAATAAACGACGACATTGAAAAGCCAAGTCCGTAGTGGATCCATTTAAAAAAGGAGGGATAGTATAATCTAATATAAGTTTGACAAATACAGTTATTATAAAGTAAAAACAAATAATTATAACGCTCTAGCAACGATATTGAAACGTTCTAGTAACGTAGCAGCTACGTTCCAAATAGTAGCAGGGTTTATAGCTAGCTACATATTTGTTACCTTTTTGGAACTCAATAATTGTTCCCCACTTTAGTCGTAACTTAGTAATGAAAGAATAATATAAAGAGACCGGCGACTGTCGCCAAACACTTTTAAGTTTCTTCAATGGTCCCATATACGTAACAAATACTTAAATTGTTGCTTGAGGTTCTAATAAAACTTTAAGATTTAGTATTCAAACGGGGAGTCATCCTATACACTTCTATATTTTTCCGTTTGCTGTGTGGATTTAAGAAGTGAGACTCTTTTTTCCAAGTCGTAATGTTTTTTTAGGCTGAAGTGGCTCAGGTAGCGTGTAAATCAGCTTGCGAGCATATTGCCGAATCGATGTTCTCTTTGCTAATGAATGACGAGATCAAGCAAATTTCCATGGGTGCCTTGAACCAAATTAATTTGGACCTACTGCAGTGTGAACGTAATGTCTTCTTTAAATGATTAATTTAAATGTTTTTTACCGTATTTTTTTTTAGTTTTTGCTGCTTCAGAACCTGTAAAAGGTTTGCAAGAAGACGATTTGTTGGTCTATTTTGGAAAATTGAGAGAGGTTTTGGATCTTTTTATATCCTGGGATTGGCCGACTTACTTTCACGACTATGCCAAGGAAACCAACAAGTATAAAATGGTAGACCCTGATACTGCCATTATTATTTTGGAAAAGTAAGTACCACCCAGCAATTTAGGTAAAATAGTCGAGCTTTGCGAAGTCAAGTAAATATTTTGATATATCAAAGGTTCTATAATGGCCCTTTATAAACGTGCTTTTAATGAACTAAAGGGCCTATAAAGGCTAAATCTAGTGGAACAAGCAACATTCCATTTTTTGATATGGCGCGCTAAAGTTTCTGATATGGCAGATTAAAGGTACAAATGTGGCAAATGCCTGCAAGTTTCTGATGTGAGGTGTAAAAGATTCTATATTGGTTATTTATAGTATATTAAAGAACTAATGTCATAAGACGTCATTTTGTCGCACGAGGACAATTGATAATGGATGGAGTTTTCATTTGGATGGATTAAATGATTTGATCCATCCATTAGAAAACTACTACGCCTATATACTATATGAGGAGTGATTTTTCAAAAGGTCGTATTTCCATTTGCAACAATTTTTCAAAAAAATTACTATAACCTGTATAGGTTAGGGCAATATAGATTATTTAAAAAAAAATCTGATGAATATTTAATAATACTTCAGACCTGCTGTCATATTTCGCCGTTAATATATGCCTTTTAACCATACCTATGGGATTTTGTCAAAAAATTACATTCAAGTAAAAATGGAAATAAGGCCTTTTGAAAAATCACTCCTCATATGTAACTACTCCACATAGATCCAACCATTTGATTCAAATGCGCGACATTTTCGGCGTAAAAAGTCTTACTTTATCAGTGTGCTCTTGGCAAACATTTTTTTATTTCCAGTTTAAATTTCTATAGAAAAAAATATAAACGAATTCGTATTTCATTTCAAATAATTTTTGTATTTATACATAGCTACTTACCACAAGAGAAACGAGACGAGACGAGAGAAAGGCACTCTGGAGCGAGAAAACAGTATTCTCGGCGAGACGAGAGACCCATTTTTTCTCGCTTCACGAGACGAGAGAAGGACTTTTCTCGCCTCGTCTCGTCTCGCGGCATCACTACATATCACGACAGCCTTTTATCAAAATTAATATTTTTATTAAAACATTCCTGTAAATGCCCAGTCTAAGAAAAGCTTTGGCTAAAAATGCCATTATTAAGCCATGTTACTTTGTAATGGGCCATTGCATAATAAGATAATCAGACTTATGTCTTTGTTGGGTAAGTTTTTATTTTGAATTTTTTAATTTCTTTAATATATATAAAGTTTTAAAGGGATTTTTAACGGTAAATTTAACTTAAATATCTTTACTCTTACCTAATTTTTCTCAAACGTCATATTTTTACTATATTAAAACCACTCTATAACAGTAAAAAATTCTTATTTTTCTGATAACTTTAAGGTTTAAAGTGGCATAAAAAACTATTAATATTGAAAAAGTATTATTATTATTATATTATAGTACTAATAACGTTATTATTTAAAAAAAATTAAGTGGAAAATAAATGTTTGTTTCTCTATGATCATAGATATTAAATGGATAATATTTCTAAAAGACGTCATATTAAGTAAATTATTAAAGATTGTATCCAATAATTAATAAAAAAATATAATCATGTTTTACAAATATTTAAAATAGTATATTATGTATCAAGTTTGATAAACGCCAGTTTATACACGAATTTAATTTAGGCACGAGCGAGCTTGCTAGCAAGTACTTAAATTAATGAGTGTATAGAAAAGTTTATAAACGAGGTGCATACTATACTTTTTCTACGATCAAAAATTTGTATAGAGCGCCATCTATGAAACAATAGGGGAATCTGTGTGTCACCGTCAAATGTCACCTTTTTAAATTTTATAAACACAGATTATAAAGGTTATAAATCGAAATTTAAGTTATAGTTTACTGCTGGCGAAATTGTTCATATAAACTTTTCAAATATTGGCGTTGAGTAACTATTTAATAATTTTGTATTTTGGTATTGAGATAATAAAATAATTTTCACATTTAGTATTATTTTACAAGAAAGACACTGTATTTTAACGATTGTATGGCATTTGACAACTGTCAACTAACTTCAGCCCGTGACTAAAAACCTGTTGCTAACTTTAGCCCGTGACTAAAGCGCCATAAAGCCACAACTTGTCAATGTGTATTTAAAAGGTCACTTAGTGTCATGGAAACATGTACGATAATTTATCGTCGATAAAGGGCTTTTTAAAGGTGGGAGTAGAAAAAAATATATATGTACATACAAGGTGTTTCTGAAATAATGCGATAACTTAATTTATCTACATTTATACAAAATTTTATAAACAATACACAGGGTGTCAAAGTTAAAATTTCGTTTTAAGTCGTTTTTTCGCGTAAATACTATGAAATACTACGGTTAAATAAGTCATGACGTCACAGTTAATTCATATAACCATGGTTAGGTTTCAAACATTTGACATTTGTTTACTTGTTTATAACCTAATATTTTTAAAATGTGTTTTTACCTATTTATATTTAATTTCTATGCTTTTACCGGTGTAAATAAATTTCTTTACCTCTTCTTATACCTTGTATATTCTTTTTCTATGATCCCTAGTTTTTATACCTACCTTTTCTATAAGTACCTCTTTTTTATATATAAACAGTTCTTCCCTGTTGTTTACCATAACTTAAATCCATGCAGTGTACGTTTATACGAAAATTATTATTGTGAAACTCAAAATTTAGAATGGAACCCCAAAGAAAAAGACGAAGGTTGGCGGTATATACATATGTTTTGGAGAAGATATGTTTAGCAAACAACATTATTCCTACATAAATATATTAAATATATATATTAAAAAGAGAAAGACTATTAACCACGTTGAATAACTAGCTCAGCGATATAGTTTTATGGTCTGGTATTTGTGACGTCATAGTTAGGATTTTTGAACGCACTCTAAACGCAAAAATGCCTTAACTATTAACCAAGGTTAAGTTTAATGACCATAGTATTTCATGGTATTTACGCGAAAAAACGACTTTAGATTTAATTAAAAAACTGAAGAAAAAAACGTTTTTGCCACAAAATTTTATTTTTTAGGTTTTTTCAGGCAGGGAAAATTATTTAAAAAATTAATTGGTTGTAGAGGGCGCTGTATGCGACACTTTGCATACATTTAACTGGTCACATCTTTTTTGCGCCTTAATAGAGGTGGGAAGTTTAGTTCACTTTCCTGATTTCGATCTTTCGATCTCGTTCATTAAAGTGAATAGTACAAAAGACTAGTTCGTTTAGTTCACTGATTTATAATCGGATTTGTCGGATTTACGTAGTTTCGTTCGCGAACTACACTTCTCTAGTAGTTCAAGTGAACTATATTGAGATTGATTGATTGATTTGCACCAAAGAAGTGTTCTTGGATTTGCACTTGCTGCTGGTCAAAATGGTACGCTGTTGCAAAGACCATTAAGTGGTTGATTTGGTTGCCTATTTTAGGGACAATTACGAATTTGCGTGAAAAAAAATCCATTAGTAAATACGGATATAATGAAATATATTTACGGATTTTTAGTTTAGTTCGTATTGATTCGCTCTTTTTAGTTTTGGTGATTGAATCTTTTAGTTCAGTTACGAAATTCGATCTTTTGAACTAGTTCGTTCGCGAACCACACACCTCTACGCCTTAATATATCCACGTTTTAATAAAAATATTTTTTTATCATAATCAAAAAAGGTACAAATTGCTAAAATTAAAAAACATTTGTGAGCAAGTCTAATAAATTGGCCAGGGACTGTATAAACATTGCTAATATTATTATTTGTTTTAGATTAAGAGAGGGTGACAAAAAAACGATGTTTACAGTTCTCAAAAAAAGCGAAAGGGACAAAAAGAAACTTTTAGAAACAGTACTGAAACAATTAAAACAATTGTCTCAAGTCCCACAAAACAAATAAACATTATTATAAATTATATTTATTAAGCTAAAAATAAAACAATTCTTATATTTATAACAGCATAATTTATTTACAATACCACACATAATTACTACAAAGTTATACTCTCAAAGTTTTTAATTAAATCTTGATGTTTAAACTCGTCAGGTTTGGTTGTAAAAACTTCGAGTAACTTATTTTTATCGGGATCTTCTTCACAGTAATACAGTTTGAGTAAATTAGCCAGGCATTGCGCTTCCTTTGCATCTACTACATTTTTATCATATTCACCCCTCATAAGCACCACACCTTTAGAGTCCTTAAATTCAGTGTAATGGTGGATAGTAAGACATTCCGGAGCATTTTCTTTATGAACTTGATAATGCAATAATGGTGTAAAATGTACCGAGTTTCTCTCAAATTGCATCATGATAAACTCATAACCTTGACTTCTCGGCAATGGTAAAAGAAATAAGGGGTATTTCTTGCCCTTTTCAATCAATTTATTAAACTCCTTGGTTGGAATTGTAGCCGATATAAACTCCTTATCCATGTGATATTGATGCCATATTTCTTTGATCTCTTCAGCAGTTTTATCTTGAATCAATTCAACTTTCATGATTTTGTCCAAAGCAGCTTCAGGAACTTCCACAGGTTCCACGATCTTTTGTTTTGGGTTTAACAACTGCGTGAATTGCCTTTCCTTGGTGGGTTCAATTTTCGCCTTTGGTGTTTTAGCGATTGTTTCCACACGAGATGAAAACTCGTCGGGGGCGACTTTCTGCAATTTATCAATTTTCTTTGCGTATTTGTCATAGTACGGGTTGTGTTTCAACTCTTCCATAACCTCTTGCATATTCCTGGGCGACGTCATTATGTTTTTATTCGTGTTTTGGCTCAATCTGAAAGTTCCTCTATACAATAGAGTTCTGAAATACGTTAAACGCATATTTATGAGAACATTTAACCTAAAAAACTTAACTGTCAAATTTTGACGTTGGTTGCAATGTTGGCGACACTGAGCTTTGAAGTTTGCTTTAAGAAGATGAAAAGAAACTTGGCAATGTGGCAATGTTAAAAGAGCGTTTAGATGTCATGGCTACCAACCACAAATGAATACATATTTCATTAAGGAAAGGTTTGTTCCAACAGAAGAAAATAAATTTTTTCAATTAAACAGTTTTATTAACTTTATCAATTGATACATTTGCTATCTAGACAACAAGTATGTCAAAGTTATTGCTGGTGACTTCTCTGCCGTCCATTGGGTACTCGCAAACGTTATAGGGACTTTTGACTTTTCCCACGGAAACCCTGTTACCTTCGTGTTTTACTCTTCCAACATACAAAGTTTCACCACCGCCTTTGCTGCCAATGAACGCATTGGCTGGGATTTCCCCTCCAACAGCTTTTTGCCAGCGCATCTTGGAAAGACAAAGAATTTCAAACTGAAAGTGAAGAAGAGAAAATGTATGTATTTATAATAAATATAAATTTATTATTAAGACACAACATAAATGAATAAAGTATTTACGTAAGTCAGGACCTTTACCTTGTCGCATGATATTTCCTGTCCCTCTAGAGATACGTAGGCACCAAGCGTTTCAATGTATTTTCCGGGTATCCATGAGCCAAATTGGTTTGACCTGGCAACAAAAACTTGATTGTCTTTGTCATTTCCAGCAGAAAAAGCTCCTGGGGAACGGGTTTTATTGTAACCAATCACCCAACATCCTATTTCGGATAAAACTGGGGCTTCTACAATTTTATTCAAATAAATTATATTATAATTATATACCTATAAAATAACTTAAAATTAACTTACCATAGGGAGAACTCATTTTGGTAAAAATGAAAACAAATCAATTGAATGAAGTCGTCCTCGAAATTCCATACTTATATACGGCATTCTATCGTTTTTTTTTTTAATTTTATTATTTATCTAGATTAATAATTTTAATAAAAATTTAAAAAATAAAAAATTTATATTCTGATTAAAATTTAATTTATTGTTTTAAATATTTGAATATTAAGAAATGTACCCATATCTAATCTATAAATATACAGTTCCTAAAAATGCATTCATGCAAGCAGCATGTGGTCCAATAGAATTAGGTACAGATAATTTTTAAAATATTGAAAAAAAGCGAATTAAAAATGTGTATTTAACAAAAAAATACAAATTTAGGATACAGATATTTTAAATTCACTAAATTAAAAATATCAGTTTGGCATAAAAATTAAATCCAATTTTAAAATATCTGCTATGATATTATTTATTCGCAGAATAAAAATTCGTATGTGATATTTTTTATCAAATTGAAAATATCACTCTAGGGTTAACACATAAAATGAATTCCTGAATAAAAAATAAAACAGCGACCCATATGCATGCAAGCAGCTTGTGGTCCAATAGAATTAGGTATACAGATAATTTTTAAAAATATTGAAATACCTTATGCATGCATCAATTTGTGGTTGTTTTTAGTACCTACAAGAACTACAAATATTTTTGAGTTATAATTAATCAATTAATATATTAAGTAGGTATACCTATACCTATAGGTACTTCCATACTTTTAATTTGCAATTTTTCTTTTAATCATTTTTTATTAAACTATGCATACCCATATGGGTATACCTAATTAGGTATACCCATATGGGTATGGTATGGGTATACAGGGCCGAGCCTAGGGTATCTGCCGCCCGGGTGCAAGAATTAAATTTGCCGCCCCCATTAATGTAAAAAATTAGGTTGTCGGTAGGGAAGGAGTGCATAATTTATCATTCTTAATAAACATACTTATAACAAATTTTATAAAATAACAAAGTATTTATTAACAAATAGGTACATAAAAGAATAAAATAAAAATACATTCAGGAAAAAAAACAAAAATAATTAAACTAAACTAAAAAACTAAAATCTACTTTTCTCGCTTTTTTAATAGCAAATTCCCTAATCAAGTCGCCTACATCGAAGTTGTTAGAAATATCTTCTTCAATACTTATAATTGCTAAATTTGAAAGCCTGAATTGACTCATATTGGATCTTAAATAGTTCTTAATTAGTTTTAATTTCGAAAATGACCGCTCTCCATGGGCAACAGTAACTGGCATCGTCAAAAATATTCTTAAAGCTACAAATAAATTCGGAAAGACTTTTAAATCATTAACTAGTTTTTAACTTAAACGCATTAAAAGACAAAAGAAACTACTATGTTTGCATCCTATTTGCCTCACGTTAATAGAAAAACTAAAAATTGCTGAAATACGCAGCCGTCAAATCGGAAGAAATTATGCTTTAACTTAACAGTTCAGCTTGTAAACAATATCACGTGGTACACAGCGAGCGATTTGATTGGTTTCCCGTAAGCCCGCTTCCGTAAAACATGAAACTTGACGAACTCGAAGCGGACGGACGGAAAGCGAAGCGGGCGGGAGGCAATCTATAAACCGGGCTTTAAGAAAATTGTCATCATCATTTTTTGTGGCTATCGCGCGTTCGGTTATGTCTTTTTTATCATTGTCGCCTGAGCGCACAATTTTGGCATTGTTTTTATGTGTAGAATAGCCCCCCGCCCACCCTGTCAATCCCTTGTCTATACGATGATTCCTTGAAACGCCGACATCAATAAAACGCAAGTGATTTTTAGAAAGTTTTTTGCATATTGCAAGGTGGCTTTTTTATTCTTGATAATATGATACAATTTTTTTGATGATATTTTGCCGCCCTGTGTTAGTGCCGCCCGGGTGCCATGCACCCCTTGCACCCCCGGCACGGCTCGGCCCTGTGGGTATAGGTATTAATACCCATTATAGGTGTAATAGCTATAGCTATATATAGCTATTAGTAGTCCATGAAGTCAACGGGATCAACCTAGGTTAGCCTATTACTATATATAGTAGCCTACTATAGTAGCTACCCACCAGTAGGTATAGTGGCTCTGTGGCAGACTCGGAATTTCAAACGATTATAATCGTTATATAAGAAGGTTGATCCCGTTGACTTAAGTCAACTTACTTTTGGAAGTATATACTTCCAAAGTATATACTTATATAGGTTATAATTGAGTCGTATAGATTCAAAACCCGCCAAATCCATTTATTGAAAGTAAAGGACAGTAGATATGTTTGCAATACATATTAATTATGTTGTTATGGAAACATGTCTTCTGTCCTTTACTTTCAATAAATGGATTTGGCGGGTTTTGAATCTATACGACTCAATTATAACCTTAATTAACTATAGTTGTCCATGAATTCATGGACAATTATAGTTAATTAAGGTTATAACCTATATAAGTATACTTCCAAAAGTAAGTTGCGTGATTACAACACATTAAAAAATTGGACAAAAAATTAGCCGTTCTTAAAAAATTAAAAAAAAAACTGAAAACCTGTCAAAACCAAAAATCGTTATAACTTCGTTATTCCTGGGAATTTTGAAAAAAGTTTGAAGAGCTACAATTAAAGAAAAGTTGCATATGCAACTTTATATATACAGTATGTCCACGGATAGAGGGCCCAAGAGGACAAATGGACTAAAATTTTCATTTTTCGACCAAAAGTCATTCTTTATAAAAAGTTCTGCTTTTGTTGAAAAGTCTATTGTCATACTTTAAATTTGAAAATATTATACAGGGGGGTCGAAAAACAAGAAAACATGAAATACTATCAAGAGTAAACTACCTTTATTTTTCGTTTTGGAGCAAAATGACAAATAAAAAAAAGATTTTAAATCATATTCAAAGACCAATTGTAAAATTTCAACTCAGTATTCCTAATTTAATTTTTCTTAAAATTTAATTTCTAATTTATACTTTTGTACCCCATTTTACGTTTCCTTTACCTGGTTATTTTGTGAAAATTTACATTATCTACAAAAATGTACAATGCTACAATGCAAATTGTTAAATTGACGTTATTTGATAATTGTTGATTGTGTCATTTTTTTAAATTTTCTCTAAATGTCCTGGATTTTTCGAGGGGTAAACCACTGATTTAAAAAAATTATAAATCGCATACGAATTAACGTCTAAGGAAAAAATCACAAGGGTACTCATAGCAACGCGTCGCTAAGAGAAATTTCTTATTCATAAGGATTTTTCCGTATTGATAACGATTGATAATGGTCGAATAAGGAGAAATCATAGCGTAACGTCCACATAATGTTGAACGTTGGTCTCGCTGATTTTAGAGTGGTTTACACCTCGGGATTTTTTTGACAGGAAGCCTACCTATGTATGACAAAAAATGCCACAGTGACAGTCTTAGATTATAAATTTCGTTTTATAAAATATTTTCAAAATATTTTTGGTGCAGTGTTATGGAACTGGCGACCGTTCATACAGATATGTACAAGAACGATTTGTTGAAAAATTTCCAGGGGTTTCAGTTTCAATACATGGAATTCGTCAACTGGTTAAAAAATTCAAGAACACTGGGTCGGTGGATAATTTAAAAAAGAAGAAGAAACTTTTTGTCGTCTTGCAGTCTGTTGTGGAAAACCCTATTCTGTCGTTACGAAAACTAGCTCAAAATTTGCAGGTGGTCCAAAAAAGTCAAATTCAAAAAATATTAAAAGCCAACAATTTTTTTCCTTATAAACCACATTTTAATCAAGCTCTAGAAGATGGAGACCAAGCAAAACGATTAGATTTTTGTTTGTGGATAGGGGACAAAATTTTAAATGAAAATAATCAGTTTCACAAACTTATTTTATTCTCCGACGAATCCACTTTTTCCACAAATGGTACGGTAGCTTCCCAACACGTACGATACTGGATCACTGAAAATACAGAATTCAGAATTCCTGCACGTCGGCAATATTTAAAAAAGTTAACGTTTGGTGTGGCATTACATATTATGGGATAATGGGACCATATTTTTTTGAGGATACATGCAATAGGAATTCGTACATGGAAATATTGGAAACTTTTCTTTCGGACAAGCTGGATGAGCTGTCATTACACTACCGTAGACAAATGTACTTTCAAGAAGACGGCTGCCCTGCACATTATGCTCGCGAAGTCACGGAATGGCTAAACAATAAATTCAGAGATCGATGGATTGGCCGAATTGTGTGGCCTGCGAGGAGTCCGGACCTCACAATTGGTAATGCGTTTCTTTGGGTCGTTTGAAGCAATTAACGCATCACCAACCGATTGAAAATAATATCGATATTCTAAAACAAAGGATTTCAGAGTCAGTTTAAATGATTTCACTTGAAGAGATAAGAAGAAGTTATGATTACATTAGACGGCAGTTTGAGAAATGCGTCGAATACGGTGGAGGGGTTTTTGAATAAATAGGATAATTTTATATGCCCAATAAAGTTATAAAGTTTCTCTTTTTTTCCTGACATTATGAACAACTTTATTTAATAAAATATTTGCCTAACTTTAAAATACGGATATTGTATCTTGACATATTTTGAATACGAAATTTTAAAATTAATATCTAAGACTGTGTCAGTTTTTTGTCATGCATAGGTAAAGAATACGTGAAATTAAGGTACACAATTATACAAATTTAATTTTAGAACTTTAAAAGTAAAATAAAATTTGGAATACTGAGTAGTCTTTGAATAGGATTTGAAATCTTTTTTTTATTTGTCATTTTGCTCCAAAACGAAAAATAAAGGTAGTTTACTCTTGATAGTATTTCATGTTTTCTTGTTTTTCGACCCCCCTGTATAATATTTTCAAATTTAAAGTATGACAATAGACTTTTCAACACAAGCAGAACTTTTTATAAAGAATAACTTTTGTTCGAAAAATGAAAATTTTAGTCCATTTGTCCTCTTGGGCCCTCTATCCGTGGACATACTGTATATATACAAGCATGAAATTTATAAAATAAAAAAGCCAGCGGTTCTTAAATTATTTGAAAAAAAAACTAAAAACTTTTTATTCAAATAATCGTTATAACTTCGTTATTCCTGGAAGTTTTACATATAATTAATTTACTAGGAAATCTTGCAATATCTTGATATTTATTTTTTAAATTGGAAATTAATTTTGAATGGGTAGATTATGATATATTAATAATCAATAACTGATAATTGTAAGGGGAATTTGCAAATGATAGCAAAGGAGATTTTTTTAAACATTATCTAAAAATGATTTTCATATTGAGTTAAGTCATTTTTTATAATTATAATTCTTTTAAATTAATTTTTATACTTGGATTCGCATCTATATGAAAGCGAAAGCGTTGAATTTAAAGGCTGTTTTCTGGTCTCAAATTTGTACTTCCCCCAATAAGATCAAACAAAAAAGAAAAAAATTAGAGGAACAATTATAATATATATTTGTGAGAACCAACAGAATTTTTGGAGAAAAAGCATAAAGTTCAGTTTTTAATTTTTGGCAAAAAAAAAATTCATTTTATAAGTAGGAACTTATTTATACATGTTAAAAAAATTGGAACCGAAAAAAACCGTATGGACGAAAAGATTGGTCCGAACCGGACAGAAATATTTTTTTTTGAACCGTAACTGTACCCGAACCGAAATTTGTCGATTCTCTCGGAACCGATTTGGGTCCGGGTCCCTGGTTCCAACCAACAAAAATATTAATGACACACATGCGCATTAATAAAAGAAGTAGTTTAAATCAATTTTAAACAAAATAAAAAAAAACAAAATTGTGTTTTTTATTAAATATTTTTTCTGTATAAAAAGAGGCATAGTTCTTTGATAGTTCCAAATTCAGTAGGTCCAAAAAGTGCATGACCTTGAAAGCTCTTGTGGCAACGTCGCACTTTAAAAGCCAAGTAAGGTTGGTTTCACATTTTTTTTTTAAATGGAAGGGTTTTTTCTTAAATAAAAACAAATTTGTTGTCTATTTTTATATTATGGTAATTATTAATAATTACCATTACCAATAAACAATTGGGTCATTCCACGTTACTCGGGGATTTTTGTCCCGCCCGTCACAATTAAAAATTGTGAGTAAAAACTACACGTTATAAAATTTATTTAAAAATATTGTTTTATTATGCATTTAATAAGTTATAACTTATTAAATGCATAATAAAACAATATTTTTAAATAAATTTTATAACGTGTAGTTTTATACAGGGTGTTTCATAATATATGCGCAGGACTTCAGGATGTGATAGCTCATCCAAAAAGATGAAAAAAGTCGCTATTAACTTACCCTCTAAAATGCACAATTTTCGAGATACAGGGTGTTGAAATTTTAGAAAAAAAATCGTTTTTTTCGATTATCTCCGGAACCGTTTATCGTACAAAAAACAGCTTTTGTAAGCATTTTCTACTCAAAATAAGCTATGTTTTGTGCCAGAAAAAAATTTTTTTTTACTCATAATTGGTGGAGATTTTGAAGGGGTAGCGGGTGTTTTTCTCCAAAACTTCTACGCCCCTGAAAAATGTACGGTTTTGAGAGGCCTATTCGAACCGCCAATGTTTTCTACACAAAAAAGGTACTCTTGGTCATAAGCTCTAAAGTTGACCGTTTTCGAGAAAAATCAACTTTTATGTTTAAAAACATGGTCAATTTAAAAAAATAATAATTTTTTTTTACTAATTAAACAAAATTTATTTTAACGTTAGAACAAGTATTAAAACTAAACCATAATTGCAAAATAAAAAATGATTCAAAAGTTGTCTTTGCTAAATTCTCCAAACCGTAAAGGTAACGCATTTCGAACATTTCAGCATTTGTGTAAAAAATCATTTTTTATTTTTTTTTTAATTTTGCAATTATCGTTTGGTTTTGTTACTTTTTCTAACGTTAAAATAAATTTTGTTTAATTAGTAATAAAATTTTTTTTTCAAAAAATTGAACATGTTTTTAAATATAAAAGTTGATTTTTCTCGAAATCGGTCAACTTTAGAGCTTATGACCAATTGTACCTTTTTTGTGTAGAAAATATTGGCGGTTCGAATAGGCCTCTCAAAACCGTACATTTTTCAGGGGCGTAGAAGTTGAGGAGAAAAACACCCGCTACCCCTTCAAAATCTCCACCAATTATGAGTAAAAAAAATTTTTTTTCTGGCACAAAACATAGCTTATTTTAAGTAGAAAATGCTTACAAAAGCTGTTTTTTGTACGATAAACGGTTCCGGAGATAATCGAAAAAAACGATTTTTTTTCTAAAATTTCAACACCCTGTATCTCGAAAATTGTGCATTTTAGAGGGTAAGTTAATAGGGACTTTTTTCATCTTTTTGGATGAGCTATCACATCCTGAAGTCCTGCGCATATATTATGAAACACCCTGTATATAAGCACAATAAAAATAATATTATTAAATATTAATTTTATAACTTGTGGTTTTTACTCACAATTTTTAATTGTGACGGGCGGGACAAAAATTACCGAGTAACGTGGAATGCCCCAATTGTGTTTTATGTTTTTAAATATTTTTTCTCTATAAAAACTATGAAAAGCTGGTTTAGGGTAACGCCGCACTTTTAAAGCAAAATTGGTAAGGGTGTTTTCACATTTTGTATAAAATGGAAGGGTTTTTTGAAAAAACTTTTTTCTTAAATAAAAACAAATTTTTTGTAAAGTTTATTTTTATATTATGATAATTATTGTGCTTTAAAATTGCGGAAGTGGTTTTTTATTAAACAAAATTTATTTTTAAGGTGTGTTCCAGCTCCCCTAATTAACACAGTAAAAATTAAGATGAAAATCACGCGAATATTTGGATAAAATTTACTTGTCTGTCAAATCGCTAGCGTCTCTTAAATACCACCGTGATGATAAAAATCACTAGAGGCTCGTTTTCCCATCTTAATTTGGTGCCGTTGCCACACAAATTAGATCTAGAGAGCTTCAGGTCATGTCTTTTTTGGACCTAACAAGCTGCTTTCTTTAAAGAGCGTTTAAAATGCGGGAACACCTTATTAAAATAAGAAGAAAAACACTGTTTAAATTAATGATTGGTATCCCGAAATCACCATTGCAACGTTGGCGAATTAATTTTCAATCCGGCCCATTGATTAGTTGTCACCAACATAAGAAAAATAACAGTTACAGTTATTGACGTGCAAAAAAGAAGAAGAAGAAGAATACTAAATATTAAAATGTCAAACCGGTGGTTAATTTTGTATGTAGTGATAAATTAAACGAAATTGTCGTGCATAGTTATGTATTCCGGTAGTGATTCGACGGAATCGCAAAAATTTCCCCAATGGGCCTTAAATCCATCGACTTATCAAAATATGGCAAACGACCAAGTGGATTGGGCTGCGTTGGCCCAACAATGGATTATAATGAAGGAAGCCGGGCCTCCGCCCGTTCCTGGAGAACAGCCCGTAACGTTGAACAAAAAAAACAAACGGGAAGCTTCCCCCGAAATGGGCGAAGCTCCCATGGACATGGAGGACAAGGATGAGAATCCTCCTTGGCCGGGCCCCCCCAAAGTGGCCAGCAATGAGTGGGGTTGGAATAATCAAAATCAAAATTGGAACAACTCGTGGAACAACTCATGGAATGGACCCCCTCACTCTGTTCCACCCCCAACGGTGATGATGAAGCCTCCACTTCTACCAACTCCAAAGAATTACAATGAATTGAGTGCCCCCCCTGAAAGCTCCAGTGATAATGCTGTGCCTTTTGCTGGGCAAGTCAAGTTTGTTTTTTTGTTAAATATACTGCAACAAAATAAATAATAAGATAATGAATTTTTAAGCAAATATGCTTAAAAAAATGTTATAAAACTTTTGTATTATAAAATGTTTATTTTTTAGAACTGCTCGAAGCAACGATTATTCTCCTGTTTACTGGACAAATAATAGAGTGATCAAACCTAGAAATAAACGCTTCAGTAAAATTAATGTCCCCACAGCTGTAGCTCCGATTGCTCCAATTGAAACACCACAAGCGGGAAGTCCTCCCACTTTGGATGCAGCAAAGAGAAAGTCACTTCCAGCTTGGATAAGAGAAGGTTAGAAAGTGTATATTTTTTTTTGTACAATTTTAATTTAAAACCAGTACACATTTTAACCTTAATGTTACATTTATAGGTTTAGAAAAAATGGAGAGAGATAAATTAAAACAGCTGGAAAGGGAAAAGGAAAAGTTTGAAAGAGAAGTTTTTCATGAAAAAATTAAGCAGACAGAAAAAGAAAAAATGGAGATTTTAAAGACCACAATGCAAGAGCAACAGAAAAGCAAATTTGTAAGTTTTCAGTGATGGAAATGTTATGAAATTCTATATTTTAATTTTTTTAGGAGAGTGATGGTGAATTGACTGAAGAGGAAGAACCACAAACGGATGAGAAAAGTTTTTCATATAAGCCTGAACCTGTGTTGACACAGGAAGAACTGGTAAGCTTTTTAAAAACCTTGATTTAATATGTTGCCTAGCATTTTAAAGTGTAAAAAAAAATAATTGTCTTTTTAAATTGAAAAACACTCATAACAGGAGCATTTTAATGTTTTTTATTAATAAATGCTTTATTTTTACTTGGGCCCCTAATAACTTTTTTAAATCCAATTTTTTTCAAAAAAACAAATTTTTTCCTCACTTTGCATAAAAAAATTGTGAAATTTCCAGAAAAATTACTTTGCATTTTTTCCGTTTTATCCGTATATCTGTGTATGGATAATACAAGAATGCAAGTCAAATTTTATGAAAATTCGGAAAATCGGATGAGGGTTTTAAATTTTAGGAAAAATTAACCAGCGGAAAAAACCGAAAAATTTGAATTTTTTTCATTTAATTGCAAAAGTCAATTTTTCTGAAAATTCGTAATTTTTATGGATAATATCCATACACTGATATCGAGAAAAAAGTGAATTTCCTACTCTGATTATAATCATATAATATGATTCCTTTTATTTTAATTTAGTAAGAATATTCTACCGGGCCGCAAAAAAAACATTTAACATAACTATTGTTTTATTTGGCACATCAATTTACAAAATTATAAATTTGTCTCCCTTTGGCAAAAAGGACCTAACTGACAGTATATTTAACGTTTACGTTTATTTTCTTAAATCAATTAAATTCAATTTATATTAAGTTTAGTTTTACTTTTTTTTTCTGTAATAAAGGATATTTTTTACGGCTAATGCAGAAAAAATACAGTCATTTTTTTTCGTTTTTATTTTTGAAAAAAAAGCCGTTTTTTGGAGGCTTAATTTTTCCGAAAAATTTAAAACACCAATGTTGAAAAAATTTAAAAAACAGTGTCAAAAGAATATAATTTTTTTTATTATTTTAAGATTTTATGAAGTCAAACATTTAAAATGCATTAAAGTGGTTTTTATCCTAAATATCCTTTTTGTTCTTATTTGGTAGTGTAATTTGTAGTGTTAATAATAATTATGGCGTTCCACAGGGAACAGTTTTAGGTCCTATTTTGTTATTATCTATACTCTATATCAATGATATTGTTAAATGTATAAAAATTTGCAAAATTTCACTATTTGCAGATTACACCATGATATACATAGTTGGTAAAAATATAGATAGTATGTTTAATTTAATTAATACTGATTTGAGTGATATTTTTAAATGGTTGTGCTATAATGATTTAGGTATTAATGTTAAAAAATAAAAATATGATTAAATGATCTAATTCAAGTTATGTGGACAGTTCCTTATGCATAAAAATAAATGGTGTTTTGATTGAAAAACTATATAAGATAAAGTATTTAGCTGTTATACTGGATAAAAATAAAACGTTTTAAAAGTCACTCAAACTATGTTATTAAAAAAATGTCACAAAAAACAATTTTTTTATATAGAGTAAGTTTATGTTTGTCAATGCCTACAAAATTGGTTTTATATAAATCTATTATTACACCTCATTTAGACTTTTATTCATCTATACTGTTTAATATCTGTGGAAATCAGTTCACACTTAAAATAAAAAGTTAAAGGGAGGCGACATTATAGGGGATCACCCTGTACCAAGTTACAAGGTACAAGCATTTTAAGGCACCTTGTATATTGCAAGATTTTATGAACAATTCTCTTAAAATCAAAGTAAAAATGCAATACAATAATTTTTAGTTTGATTTCAAGAGAATTGTTTTATGTTTAAACGTTTTTTGAACTCCCCTAAGTATATTTTTCGATTATTTTTTGTAATAATTGTCTAAAAATGGAACAAATAATCAATCTCATTCGATTTACTTTGTCACGTGACGTTTTAAACCCCCATTTTGCGTCACGAGATTTATGGACGGCCTTAATGCCGCTATGATGCGTCAGCTGCACACCAAAAATAGTCACTGTAACTTTTTTCACAGATGTTAAAAGTGAGAAGGACAATGACGGAAGTTCTTCTGAAGGTGACAAATGCTGAGATAGCGACAATAGTTAAAGAAGAATCCCTGAGGTGGATTAAAAAACTGAAAGGTATTGTACAATGGGTTTGTGTAGCACTTTAGAAGTAGTTTGCTAGATTATAAAAAATATATTTTATACATATGTAAATATATCGCCTTGTAAAAACGAGACTTGCGTCTCGTTTACAATTTGTCAAATTCTTGAGACTGTTAACAGGCATAGAATGGAAGTAAATTGTTTAATTAATTTAAACTTCAGCTTCAGATCATCGTTCTTCAGCACCCAGTGGTGCCAACATTACCGCCAAACTTGGTAAGTCGGTCGATAGACCTTAACCTATACAAAAAATTGCATTCTGATAAAAATGTACGTCAGTGGAAATATGATTGAGAGCTTGTTTAACTTTTTTGCCGTTGTGTTTGTATTAATCGTTCTTAAATTAGGGCTGGGTATTTATGGAGAGGGTTCTGATAGTAGCAGCGAAGATAGCGAGGACGAATATTTGAAAGAAAAGCGGGATTCGGACTCGGAATTGAAGGTAATTAACGGTATCAAGTTGCTGGTGACGTCTTGTAGCTAACTTCTCTCTTAGTAACAGGGGAGAAACCTCTGTTGCTAGGTGTTAATTTGAGGAGAATTTGGTTGTGATGTCACCTCAAACTGGTGTCAATTAAGTAGAGTATTTTAAGGTCAAAGCATATTCTTGGATTAAAAAAAATTAAGGATCTAAAAACATATTTAACAAAGTTTTATTATAGCGTCTTGGCAGCAGTGTTTACGTTTGCGGGTATTCTCTCCATGCTTGCGGGTAAAATATGTTTTTATATTTCCTAGATATGTTTATTTTTTAGTAATTATATATATTTTTAATCAATATATAAGTATTTTTCAAAAATATATTTAAATGCATAAAGATATATTTATTTTATGCAGTTCGCCAGATGGCGCTGCTCACCAAAATTAAATTTGGCAACGTTGCCCTTTTAAAAGTATGTTGGTGCACCAATAGATTAATATCCCCTGTTTAAAAGTGCTAGTTTCTTAGTTATTTATTTAAATATTAAATTATTTATTTATTTTGTAACAATTTTTAAAAAACATTAGTATATTTTCGTTACTGTTCGTTTGATACATTATCAGGGTATACTAACAAAAATACGGTATTTCACAGCATATTTTTTATTTACTTAAAAAAAAATATAAGTTATTTTAAGAACGTTTTTTATTATTAAATAAAAAGGGTTTAACAATATTTTCTCAAAAAACCCTCGAACACGTTAACTGAAATAAAAGTTAAACTATTATTATACAAAATTTCATAAAGATTGGTAAAGGCGTTTTAGAGTTAGAATTTTTTTTACTTATTATGCGTTAATTTTGACGCGCAGTGTAGTAGAGCCTCTAGACATGACTCTATCTTATTCAGGGCATCTTCCAATAAACAAATGTCTTCTTAAATAGACAACGACTTCCTTGTTCGTAATCTAACGCAATACTATTAAAAAAGTCACATAAATTCATATTTACATTTCTAAAATTTGTAATAAAATTGTTACAAAATTACCTCAAGTAGAAATAATTAAATAAATGTTTTTACTTTAACCTTTAAAATATGAACCGCCAGAAACTTGCACTATTTTAACATGTGCATCAATATGCTTTTATAAAGGCAACGTTGCAAAAATTTAATTTTTGGTGAACAACGACATCTGCAGGCCCACTGCTAAAGCTTACTTTATAAATATTTGTACAAATTAAATATAAATATATATACTAAAACATAAACATATTTAGTAAATATTTATATATATTAAATGGAATAATTACGGCGCCTCATAAAACCATGTTTAAACATGTAAAGATGTAAACAATGTAAGGATTTAAACTAAAAATTTAAAATCTTATATCTAACTTCAGAAGTTTAAAATCACAAATAAATGTAAATGAAAGTCAAAAACCTATTAAAATGTCCTTCATAACAATCATATTTTAGAATCTAAAATTTAGATTGTCAAAAACAAACAAATTCTACAAGGCATCCCTGAAATGCCTGTACAAAATGATACCACATATTCCTGAGACCAAAATAATGCGATATAACTATACCAAAGTTGATAATAACCAAGAAACAGGGTGTTAAAGTTAAAAGTTCGTTTTTGATTTTATTTAATAACTTTGGAAAAAACAACGTTTTTTAGGCCTGAAAAATTAAATTTCTTAAAAAAATTAATGTAGTTTGTAGAGTGCGCTGTCTTAGATATTTTGCATACGTCGCGTCGTTTAAATGGTAACATGTTTTTTGCGCCTTGGTGTATTCACGTTTTTAATAAAAATATTATTTTTAATATCTATGAGTATGAGTATGAGTATGGGAACGTATGGCAAGCCCCAGATATATTGTCATCCACTGATCTCCCGAGGTTATATTACCCCCTTTCCGTTCTCCTGCGTATCCCGCCAAATCACAGCATTACCTGTGTTTGTTGGATCCGAAGTTTTTACGCCGGCTGGTAGATCCACCCTAGGAGTTCGTGGATGACAGTGTCAAAGGTTAAGGCAGCTCCCGGGATTTTTGTCAGCCGGGTCGGGCCATACGTCCAGTTTAGGAAGGGCTTTTGGAGGACATTGAACTGACCCAAAACTAAGTACAATCCGGAATCCTCCTAAACCAGGGCTTTAGTAATAACCCCATTCATTTGGTATTCCTGAATGGGGGTGGGTATGTTAGTTTTTTTGCTTACTCCGGCTACCAACCTTGTATATTCTTTATTTATTTTATTGCTATATTAGTGTTCATACCGTTTTCATTTATTTATATCTTTGCCTTCTTACTTATTTTTTTTCAAATTAATTTAAAAATAAAAATATTAATATACAAAATAGATAAAGCCGGCCCTGTGGTGTATCGCATCAATTTGAAACCCGGCCCCTATGTCAGGCGTGCAACGCATGCCTCAATAGATGGCCTACCACTTCATTTTCGCGTGGGGGCTTTGCCCATTTACTTTCTCCATCCTCCAAGCTTTGCTTGCGTGAGCTTATGTGTATATTATATAATATATATAATACAATAATATAATATTGCGACGCACCCACTTGATTTCCCTTCACACACGCACGCTGCCCTCTGCAATGATCAATTGTTGCCTGGTTTCCTGTTAAATTAGTATCTATATGAATTCAATATAAATTTCAATTAGTCAATACCAATACTAATACCAATTAATACAAATAATCAATACCAATATCAACCAATCAATCAATTAATCAATATTAACGTTAATATCAGTATCAACCAATTAATCAATCAATATTAATACTAATATCAATATCTATAATGCCAATATCAACATCAACACTTATACCAACAATATTACCATCAATACCAATACCAATATGATTATATCAATATCAATCAATCAATTAAATTATTAATTAATTAATTAATCACTTTATGTAAATCGATCTTCAAAATAGAGCCGGCCCTGTAGTGCATAGTGGAATGCGTCTTTATGGCCTGCTTGGCTCTTGAATTCCGTGTATTAGCCTGGCTTGATTTATGAGTGTGACCCTAAATTTATTTATGATAAATTTTTGTCTTCTTGCTTGAATTGGTTTATTTGCTTACGCCTTTTACGCTGGTTGTTTACGTTTGTCTGCCATGAGAAAATAGGTTGTTATTTAACAGTTACGGAAATGTTCTTATTATTTTTTAAATTTAATTTTTAAGACGAATAGATTTCTTAGATTCTTTGCAACTTTGTGAAATGCTTATATAAACATTTAACGATTATACGGTAAGACATGCAATTAGAAGAATTACTTAGCTTGATTATTAGGCTATAAACCTGATGCTTTGTCCTTCGCGGGGAGTCCCTCTCCTGTAGGTTTTTGCATAGAAAAAGGACGTTTTTGGAACGCTCCGATCCAGGTGCGCCGGTTGACTTATCGTTGCTGCCCAGCCTCAATCAGGCACTTATTCACTTGCACACCTTTACGGCGTTATCTCACAATTTTCGCACTTCTTGTTTATTTATGTATTTATTTATTATTTATTATTCATTAACGATCACCGACATTTCCGGACACTTCGTTTCGCTTTTGGCATTTTACGTTTGTATCGTATACGCCACTTAGGATCTTGACGCATCCGACCTCTTCGAGCATCAAGACGGTGTAATATTATTTTTAATATCTATATTACACAAAAAGGGGTATTTTGTAAATGTCTTGGATAGGTTTTATCAACTTTTGTTTAGAGGTAAATGTAGTTATATATATATTATTATTATTTTGAGGCATTTCAGGGACACCTTGTATAATGTAAATGAATATTTAGGTTATTCCTAAAATGACCTACATGACCTTTATTAATTTATTCCTCGCCATATACACTAGACTGGGCCAAAAAAATCGACTATTTTTTTATATCGAAAATATTGTTTGGGGTGACAAAAAATTATTGTAAAAGTTTTAGTCCATAATATTAATATTAAGAGGTCTATCATCGCAAATTTAGATTTTTTTTCCTGAGCTTGTTTTTGTCTCAGAACTCCCAAACCATTAAGTAACAAAATTGACTTAAAAATATTTTTTGAAGAAAATTGAATGCTCTACAAAAAAGGTCTGAATGAAATTTCCCTTCAGATGAACCGTTTCCTTACAATCATGCCTTAAAAATTGGTATAGTTTTACAATATGATCTTTTAACTTTAGAATTTTGTAATTCATGTAAAAATCAGTACCCGAAAAAAAAAACGATAAATATTCTTATGGGAAATCAAATGCTCCACAAAAAAAGTCTCTTAACATTTTTGGCTAAATTCACTCCATCAAAAGTTATTTAAGGTTAAAGTTGAAGTCAAAACGAAATTCTTGTTTTTTTCCGCTGTAGATTTTTTGTTTGGGTCAGTTAAAAATTTCAATTCTTTTATTGATGATAATCTTTTTGTTAATGATAAAATGACTGAAAATTAAAAAAAATTATAAACACATTCAAATTTTTTGCTTTAAGAAGCTATTTTCTTTAGAAAATATAATTTTCACCGTTATTTAATTGTTTAAATTATAATCATAATGTTGTTTTTTTATTGGAAATTCTTAATTAGTTATATAATACACATTTATAAAGAAAAAATCAAATTATCATCCATAAAAAATAAAACTACAGAGGAAAAAACAAGAATTTCGTTTTGACTTTAACTTTAACCTTGATTATGTCCCTTATTATAATATGAACCAATCAAAAGCCTTGAATTTTCGAATAAATTTCGTTTAAATAAGCGATTAAATCACTAGAACTATTTAACAGCGATTAAAATTTAGCCTCCATATTGGATTTTTGTTTACGATTTTATGGTGTTATTTACAAGTTTTAACAAACATTTTTTAAAAAACAATAAAAAATAAGTTATCTAGTTTACGAAATATCAATTATTACTTATTAAATACCTTAAATTAATGGAATTTTCTTTAAAAAAATATTTATAAATTTTGACACATACGTCAGATTTTATGCATTGTCAAATAGTTTCCTTTAATTCGAGAAATAATCTAGACGTATATCACTCAATCTATAAATTTAATCTGTCAAACTATGCTCAGTAAGTTTTTTATTTGATTTTTCTTTTTGGAAAATATTTCATGCAAAATAATTAAAAATAAAACCCCTCGACCGCTACGCGGTCTCGTGATTTTATTAAATTATTTTGCATTCAACATTTTCCAAGAAAAACCAAACAAAAAACTACTGAGCCTAGTTTAACCGATTAAATTCATAGTTCTCGTAAAATAATATATGAATAATTTTTGATTGAGTGAATTTAGCCACAAATGTTAAGAGACTTTTTTTGTAGAGCATTTGATTTCCCATAAGAATATTTATCTGTTTTTTCCGGGTACTGATTTTTACATGAATTTCAAAATTCCAAAGTTAACAGATCAAATTGTAAAACTGTGCCAATTTTTAAGCATGATTTTAAGGAAACGGTTCATCTGACGGACAATTTTATTTTGACCTGTTTTGTAGAGCATTCAATTTCCTTAAAAAAATATATCTGGGTCAATTTTACTTAATGGTTTGGGAGTTCTGAGACAAAAACTCGCTCAGGAAAGAAAAAATTAAAATTGCATTCAATTTCCTTAAAAAAATATATCTGGGTCAATTTTACTTAATGGTTTGGGAGTTCTGAGACAAAAACTCGCTCAGGAAAGAAAAAATTAAAATTGCGATGATAGACCTCTTAATATTAATATTATGGACTCAAACTTTCAGAATATTTTTTTTTGTCACCCCAAACAATATTTTCGATATACTTTACAAAAAAATCGAGAAAATCAGTATCAAAATTGTGGCCAATTTGTGGTGGCCGGTTTTTTGCCGGTGAGTGTATACAAAACCAAATTAATAATTTTTCCCTCTAGGACATAATTCGAAAAAAGGTGAGCGATTTCTCGAGAACTGAGCGCGAGATCGAGGAGAAGTTGGCGGAGGCCGAGGGCAAGAAAGGGGGCTATGCGAGCCGAGACTCATCGCCAGACAGCTCACAAAACGAATCACAGGTAGACGCTCGCACACAAGGTCAGTGTTCTAGATTTATATTCTGCGCAAGTATGGATTTGTAGATAACTATACAGGGTGTTATGTAATTAATGTTATATATTAAAATGGGTTGTTCCTTAGGGTCCATAAAGAAGCACCTGAAACTTTTTTTTTCTAAATTCCAAAGTCTAAAAATAATTTATAATAACCTTTATCCTACCAAAAAGTACGCCACTGATCGACTAGGAACTTTAGGCTAATCTGGTTAATTTATTATGTTATGGTTGGTAACAACAGTGTTTCCAAAATCTGTCAAAAAAGTTGACAAACATTGTTTAAATTTAGCTTAATTGCAAAAATGACAAAATTAACAATGCAAATTGTGAATTTGGCGTTTTTATTAATTGTTGGTTATGTCATTTTTGTACTGAAGGTAAATTCAAACAAAATCTGTCAACTTTTATGGCAGAATCTAGTGCATTTCTTTCAAATTTTAGGTTATGTGCTCAAATTGTAAATATCTTAACTAAGGGCTTTTGGATTTATTTACACAAATTAAATGTTTAAAGTTTAACCTGTGAACTGGTCCCAATTTCATCTGAGTAAACAGAAAGAAAAAAACTGATGAAAAAATTAATTTTGTGGTTATGGATTTTTTAAAATAAGTACTAAATTTTCTAATCATTGCTTAAGCTAATAGCTGGATGAATAAATAAATACAGAAGGGTGTTAGAGCTTTAAGGGCATAAAACTTTTGTATTTATTGAGTTTTTATTTATTTTTTGGAAGAAAAATTTTTAGTAACAATTTTTTACATCTGGCAACGCGTAGCTACTTTGTTGGTTGGTATCTATGTACTCACAGAATACAAGTTTGCAGAGATAAACCAAGTGTGTAACCAGTGGCGTATCACAAAAAATATAAAAAACTTCTAATGCATATTTTTTCTTTATCTTTGGAAAAATATTTTTTTTAATATTTTTCCTTTATTCTCTATGTCAAAAGGTATTCAGTATTTTAATATATAACATTAATTACATAACACCCTGTATACATACACCCACAGTCTAAAGTAGTTTGTAAAAGGCTCTACAAAACCATACTTATTTATTTTTATGAGATGAGCCTCATTTTCCATGAGAAGGAAAATCTCCAAATCAAATAACATATAAATGGTGGTTAATAAATATTGCAAAAAAATCAGTATTGCAATTTTTTTTAATAAAATAGTCGCCCTTTTATATCTCAGTCGTTGAAAGAGCTGTCAGTTATGAGTTCTAATGTAAAAATGTAAACTTTGCAACAAACACGTCTAAAATGAAATAAAAACAATTTAAACTCATTTAGAAATATCCAAATAACATTTTAAAATGTCAAAACACAAAATTATAAGTTATAACAGTATTTTTTCTACTCCTACTACTTACATTTTTCTTTTAATAAAAAACCTTAAGGGCCTCCTACATTGTTCAGCCCCAGGCGCCCTTTTCCCTTAATCCAGCCCTGCAGAATACTACCAAATCTTGCTATTAGTCTGACTTATTAAGAGTTTTTAAGAGAAAGTAAGATTCTTATTTTTACTTATTAAAACTTTTGCAAAGACAAATTTCCGCGAGGGCGCACAGTGGTCTGAGAGGTAAATTTACGCGGCAAAAATTATTCTTTAAATATTTTTCCCAAGACGTATGTTTTTTATGTTTTTAAGGGTGCTAAAGTTACTTCTTATATAAATTTTTTTCAAAAATATTTGGTATTGAGGGGGCTAAGTCTAGCCAAATGATATAATATAATTTATATATATAATAATATTTGTGTATTTTTTGTTTTTTTTTTAATGTTTTATATTTAATAATTTATTTATTAAATAAATAAATATTTATAGTTCGTACCAGGGAGCGAAAACAAATATTATTATTAAATATTATTATTATTATTATTATTGTACTACCCTCTTAAAGCACTTTGCTGTTTTTTATTTCCTGAGCACCCTGGACATTTAATTAAAAATGTTTGTTAGGAATCTCATTTTTAAATACAAGAAGAAGTTTTTATGAAGAAAGATACGAATATCTTACCACATTTCTTTCTTATTTTAATATATAATTTTTTTTTAATTTCTGAGCACCCTGTATATATAATTCATTTTTTTATGAAAGTCTTAATTTTTAACCATAAAATATTTTCAAAAAGAATTCATTTTTCCATAAAACGCACTTCTAATTTTTTTGGGTTTTTTTAGTTTCTGAGCACCCTGTACATTTAATTCAAAATGTTTGTGTAGGAATCTTATTTTTGAAACAAGCAAGAGTTTTAAAAAACAGATTTTTTTTCGTATCATACCTAATAAAAAAGTTTTTTACTATTGTCATTACCATCCCTGGGCACACTGTATAATATACAAAGTATATTACAAAAATAATATTTTGTAATAGGAGTAAAGAAAATTGTATTACCATTCTTAAATGCAATAATTATTTTCAAATTTAAAAATATATTACATTTATGACCAGGTTAGCGGTAATTTGTCGGCTATTTTTCATTTTTGCATAACTTTCTTATAGGCGCATAAAGGCAGATGAATTTTTATAAAGTTGGTGCTGGAGGTTCATATTTTCGAATGCACTATGTGGTTCTGGGCAAGTTTATTATTTATAATTAAAAAACTTGAGAATTTGTAGGTTAAAAAACTATATTTTTTGCAAAAAATCCAAAAGGGACATTTTAAGGTTGTATTTGTACTCAACTTTATCCCTACTATAAATTTTTGACACTAATTTTCACTATTATATTTACGCAACACCTTTTTTACACGAAAAAGACAAGATTCCGAAAGTAAGAGTATTTTTGACAATCTTTTCATGTATTTGTTATTACGCAACGCATACGCAGTAAATTCTACTTCGCATCTTAGGTAATAATCTGTCACGAACAATAAAGAGGCATCAAAATGCGTTTTTAAAGTGTTTTAAAAATTGGATTTTTGCCGCGTAAATTTTCCTCTCAGACCACTGTGGGGCGGCCTTCACCGACTGAGAATTGAATGGGGTAGTTAAATTTTTTCTGACCTATACTTTTTATGGTTTTATTCAAGGCGTTTTGTAATATTAAACATTTTTGTGAAATCAGAATTTCAATTGAGTTTACCGTTTTCGAGATATTTACAAAAAATATAAATTTTTATGACGTCACAAACCTCGCCATGTGACCAACATTCTAAGATTTCTATTGGTTGAAAATTACCCTGTTGTCAAGTTGTCTTGTTAATGATTTCATTCGGTTATGTCAGAAAATACCCGAAGAGGTTATGTACAAATACTGTCACTGTCAGTTGAGTGAAAGATGGTCACCAAATTCATTAAGTACCTATCTTCCTTATTATTAATTATAGGTACTTACTTTATTTGTTTAAAAGCTCCAATGTTCAATGTAACCAACCATTCCACAAGATTCCTCTGCTTTGGAGTCCGTTATTAATAAATCACTTAAATAATATCAATTACAAATAACATAACAATAACATTGATTTTCAATAATCTAAATTTAAAAAAAACATAACCCGAAAAAAAGTAACGTCAAAAAATCAATTCTTCTTCTTCTCAACTAAAATTATAGATCAAGTGGTTTTAAAACTACAATATTATAACGTGGCGCCATCTATCGTAAGAATCTTAAACTAAACACACTGGCAACCATAGAAAAAGCTGGCAACGTTGTCAATAGCCTAGTGACGTAATTAGGAGATTTTTTTTGTAAATATCTCGAAAACGGTAAACGCAATTGAAATTCCGATTTCACAGAAATTTTTAAAATTACAAAATTACAAAACGCCTTGAATAAAACCATAAAAAGTATAGGTCAGAAAAAATATTTTTTGAATGATTTGCTTTATTGTGTGCGGTTAACAATGTGTTGCAGGTCGCAGAAAAAAATCGCACGACGTGAGTCCCCCGCACAAGCAAAGATCCCCGTCGACGTCGTCGGACAGCGCGTCTCCGGCGCGCGCCAAGAGCCGACCGAAGCCGAGCCGGCGGTCGAGCTCGTCGTCGGAGAGCGCGCACTCGAAGCGGTCGCGCGCGCGGCGCAGCCGGTCGCGCAGCCGCACGCCCAGGCGGCGCGGATCGCCGTCGCGGGAGCGGCGCGGCGAGAGGACGCGCAGGCGGTCGCGGTCGCACTCGTCGAGGTCGTCGAGGCGGTCGCGGTCGCCGCCGGGCCGGCGGTCGAGGCGCTCGCGCTCGAAGGAGCGGGGCGCGAAGAGGTCGCGGTCGAGGTCGAGGTCTCGATCGCACCGGTCGAGCAAGCGACGGCGCTCGAGGTCGGGCAGCGCCGCCGGCGGCAGGGGTAAGAGGTCTCACAGACACTGAACCACCCGATTCCGATGGCAAAAGGTTGTATATCCATTCTGCTTTTCCGTTTCGTTTTTCGCCGGTTATTATGCACATTCAGAATTCGAATTTTATTCGTCTCTTACAATAATTTTAAATTTAAAAAATACACTAAATTTTGATTTGTTTTGTCGCTCCCCAAACAATATATTGATGAACAGTTACGGAAAATAGTAATGTCCATTTGAATGCTCAATTGTAACTGTTCGGAAGCATTCGGAAATAATATTATCAACTTGTAGTTTTTTAAAACTTAGGTACTTTATATTTTTAAGATCTAGCAATGATTCAATACACTATTCTACATCATAGGAATAAAAAACACATTTTATTACTTGCACGTTTATGTGTTAAAATTAAAAAAATATATAGCATATTCTGATTATAGACTCTTTTGGTAAGACGAAAATGTATTTATCAAAATCCCAGCTGATGCTTTATTAAAGTTTTGCATATTTCTTAAAGCACATTCTTGGCTGGCGCCAAATTCTCTAGCAATTTTTAAATTTTGAAAATTTGGCAATTGTGGCTAGGCAAAAATACCGTTTTTACCATATTGAAGTAGGTAATTTTGAATCACTTAAGTTAAAGTGTTGCTTTGAAAAAGTCTGCAGTAATTTTTATATATTTTCTCAGAAACCCTAAACTCTGAATTTTTCGATTACCAAAAACAATTTTGTCTCCACAGCCAGCACATACCTTCTTTCGATTTTCTTCATGGCTTAACTTGAATTTCGGTTTAATTTTCATTTTAAAATACTATTTTTAACTTTATAAAGTATACATTACATACTAACAACTAAAGCAAAATGTCACTTGCGTTATAACGTATAGCAATTTTTTTCATAACCACCTTAATTATTTTACAAAATTTGCAAGTTGTAATTATTTCATAGACAAACTTCCAGTATTTTTTGTTATAAAAATTATTTAAGATATAAATCTTCTTTTTTTTGTTATGTTTTGTTTTGAGTAGTAAAAAATAATAGGTGACTCAATAAATTAATACTGGGGAGTAAAGTAATTTAAATGATACAAAGTTTATTATTTTGCTTAATTTTATTAAAATTGTACAGGTAGTTTTAGTACAATAATTGCAAAATAATATATGGAAATAGAAAAACAAAAAAGTTTGCAAAACTTTAAAATAGAATCAGCTGGGATTTTGATAAATACATGTTAGTGTTACCAAAAGGGTCTATAATCAAAATATGCTATCAGTTTTGGTTGGCATTTTTGTTTGTCCTATACTTAAGTTTTGACCACCGTGTGTATAAGAATACTTCAACTTATATCTTAGTTTATGTGTTCGAGGGACCCTTTTTTAAGAAAATATTCTGTTAAAACAATGCGCAAAGAAAGCGGCATTTTTATTTAAAAAGAAACGTTAAATAATTATTAACCATTTTTTTTAAATAAAAATGCCGCTTTCTTCGGGCATCGTTTAAGGAGGAGAAAGGGTCATACTAAATTTTACCATAAATTTAGTTTTGCTGAAAAAGTAGGAAAAATTATTATTGATTCCCAAAGGGTTTGGACCCAATTTGGTCAAATATTAAATTATTATTTAAAAATTATCTGTGTCATGCAAAACGACTTAAAAAATATTCCAACTGCATATTATTTCTGTAAGTATTTTATCTACAATTATTATAATAATTATAAGTTTACGCTGTTTTCATATTTTATTGAAATAAGTTGGTATTGGGCAGTTATTTTATAAAACAAATAATAAAAACTAAAATGTTGATAAACGGATTAAAAGTGAATTTCTTTTTATAAGCACAAAATGCATATTAGTTTAAAATTTGAATGGCTTTAATTAACATAGTAAGAATAAATATTTTAATTCAAATTGCCCTGGTAACAAAAAATTACATAAAAAGGTAATTATTTATATTTATATACGAGTATATATTATATTTAGTATTGAATGTCTATTAATAACTAATTAAATAACATGTAGTTTATTAAATAATTATAGAAAATATATTATATTCAAATTATTTTAAAATTAATTTTATTCCTTAAATATTTAAATGGTTTAGATTATTGTATAAAAGCTTAAAAGTCAAATAAAATGTGCGTAGAAAGAATGATAAATAGCAGGTAGGTAGAATTATTGAGTTTAAAAATAAATTTTAATTTTATTACCAACACCCGAAAGTTTCCGAACAATTACAATAGAGCATTCAAATGGAAATTACTATTTCCGTAACTGTGCATATAAAAAAAATGCCTTAAAGTTTCAACCCTTATTCTTACTCCTAAGCAGAACTGTGGCAATTACTCTTAAAAGGTAATTACCTATATCTTTTTTTCGTAATTTTAATTGGTAATTGTAACTCAATTAATTGAGTTACAATTACCAATTAAAATTACGAAAAAAAGATATAAATTACCAAGTACCACAGATTAACAAATGAAGTTCAATTACCAATTACCATAAAGAGTAATTGATTATATAGGCAATTACTATAATTGAATTACTTATTTTAATTCAATTAGTTTTTAAAAATAGAATTACTTTTTAGTGATTGAATTACTCTTAAATAATAAAATTACTTTTAAGGATTGAATTGCTTATAAATTTCTTGAATTATTTTTAAATTATAAAGCAATTACTTTTTAGGTAATAATTTAATTTTTATGGGAGTTAATTAATTAAAGTATTCAAAGAAAACATATTCCTATTTATAACTTTATTTATTTAAAAAAAACAACAGATTTTTATAGGAAATTCAATTTCCTATAAAAAAGGTTCTTTGTAATAATGCAATAAAATGTAAAACATAGAAGATAATACATTTTACTATAAAATATTGATTAACTAATTAGTTCTATGCTCTATATCTTTTAAATCTTTTTACCTGTAACTTAACCGTTTTGCCTTAAAATGCAAATATTGTTTTTTATAAATATATTATTTGTATCCGGCTGAAGGACGAAAGTCAATGGCCTTTTGAAAAATGTATTTTATTCAATAAAGAACATTTATTATTATTATTATTTGTAGTAAAATTATTGCAAGTACTTTTCAAGAGCTTCTAATTATATACAAATTGCACTTATGTAAATTGTAGTAGTGTTGCCAAGCTATTGTAAATTTAAAACAAAATAATTTCCTATGCTATTTTAATGTGAAAACCTTAAAATCAAAGTAAAAGTACTTAGGAGTGAGATTAAGGGGAGAGACAAAAAAATGTTCCTTAAAACAAATATGTTTCTACATATTTTTAGAAAAATATAATTGTCACAAAAAAATTCAAATTAAAAGATATAATTGACTATTATCATACAAAATATTAAAATCTGACTAGGCAAAAACTTGAGATAACAATTGACCTTTAAAACATATCTCTAAAAGTATTGATATTTAATATTCTGAATTTGTGTAATAATTTAATTTAATATAAACCATACTGAATAATTTTTTGTTCCTAGGTAAAAGAAGATGAACCTGTGAAGTTTCTTCAGTATAATAATTTATTTTAAATTAAATTTAATAATCCACTTTAAAAAAACATTTTAATAGTAAAGCATGATACAACAGTTAACACCAATTTAAAATGTTAATTATTTAGGCAAGTCTTCCTAAATAGCTGTTATTTAGAAGGTTTGTGCAATATACATATACTTACTGTTCAGTCTTGTCAGTTTTTAGAGTTCATGATCGAAAGTTTATAATAAATATTACCCCTAGACTTTGTGTTATTATTTTAAGCCCAAACCTATTTAAATCATCTTTAAAATTCAAATTTTATCTTATGTTAATTTAATCAAGAAAAAAATTCAAATTTTTCCACTTAAATTATCAAATATTTTAGTCAAAAATTTCATGTTTTTTTAGTAAAAAAAAACTGCTTTAAATTATCAATAAATATATATATTTTAATTAGTTTATTATTACATCCTATATACAGTCTAACACATTTATGGAATCGAAAATAATTTAAAACATTTATTTTCCTAGTCTCTGTTCACATTTACCAAACCTTAATAACTTATCAATAAATAATTCAAAAGTGAGGTTATGATGACTTTTAACACTTAAAAACTCTGTCACACGAACTTGCCACTGGGGATAATCATACAAACTAAACACTTCACCACAATATAGCCCCAATTCGGGGTCTGGAAACTCGTAGTGATTTTTTAAGTGTTCGTTTATACTGTCTATGCTAAAATTGGTTTCTATTTTTTCTGATGCAATGTTTTTACATAGTGATACAATGCTGCTCTGTCCATCTTCTTGGGAAAACACTTTTAAGTGAATTTTTCTGCCAATGAATCCGTTTTTGTGCACTGAAGAGGAATTGTTATGCCATATTATGTGGTCTTTTTTGCTTTTCATTTCATTTACGTGATACTCCAGTTCATTTTGATGTTTTTTTAATACACCTAAAATAGGAAATTAATTTAATGTATTATCTTAAAAAAATGCAAATTACCTTTATAATCATAAAAGCTCAGATATGGAATTCCTGTTGATATGCAATAAAAAACAATATTAGCCAAATCTTTGTATGAAGGTTCTTCATGACCCAAAAGAACAGTTAAATGCGTAGGTGGTTTTCCTAAACACTTAAGTTTTTGGAGTAAAACATCGTTATTGTGTTTCCCATAATAAACCCCATGATAAAAATCAACAGTTATTCCTAGTAAATAAACTATACATTCGATTACTGTACAGGTAAAATGCACTAAATTGTAGAGCACAACATGTATAAAATTAATAGACATTGCGTCTAATATACTCTAACTACACATCACAATTAAAATACATTAAGAATTAATTATATTTAGCCGCTATTTTATGGGAGTCAGCAAGCATGAGACACCGTGTCAGAAAATTCTTCTTCTTCTTCAATCAAAAGTCAGCGTTACCAACCGAAAAAGATCGACACCGCTGAAATAATTATTTATCTTAAAGCCGGATTTATAGTTTGACGGAACGGAACTGAACGTAGACGCACTGGATACGTAAAAAACGGACTGTAAAAAAGTATTCAATTTATAAATCGACGGAACGGACTTTTTTCGCATGCGCTGTCTTGCCTGTGTTTGTTTAATTGTGTTTAATTCTGTTTCGTCTTCCGTGTCACAATGGATTATGAAATACATGAAGGTATACTTTTTGGTGCTGTGGGTCTACTGTTGTGTGCAGCAGCATTGAAAAATTGTCGACAAACTGGAAAAACAATAATTAAGACGTTATAAAACAAGACCCATTAACCGTAACAGAAAAGTGGAGAATGGCTACAATTATTTTTTAAAAATGAAAATAGTTGATCCAGATCAGTTCTTTAAGTATACGAGAATGACTGTATTTAATAAAGTCGTTTTTTCGCGTAAATACCATGAAATACTATGGTTATTAAACTTAACCTTGGTTAATAGTTAAGGCATTTTTGCGTTTAGAGTGCGTTCAAAAATCCTAACTATGACGTCACAAATACCAGACCATAAAACTATATCGCTGAGCTAGTTATTCAACGTGGTTAATAGTCTTTCTCAGTGGCGGATTTACCAGCAGGCTGAGTAGGCTCGAGCCTAGGGCGGCAGATTTTGGGGGCGGCAAATTTGGGGAACGATTTTTTTTTACCTCATAGAAATCAAAAAGATTTTTCTATGACGGTTTTCCGATGTCTTACAGATAGAAGTCTGCAACAAATTTTGTCGATGATTTTTCTCTTATTATTATTATTTATTCACGTTTACCAAATGTTCATTTTAATGAAATTTTTGCATTGTAAGAATAATGTATGATATGACAATTGTTGAGGCAAGGGCGGCAAAAACTATTCAGCCTATACCTTGAAAATTTGTAAATCCGCCACTGGTCTTTCTCTTTTTAATATATATTTTTCTGTTTCGATATGTCAAAAATTTGTTTACATTTGAAATTTAAAATATTTTAAGTAGGTACAATTGCTCTTAAACCGAATTTAAACTTTGTATTAAAATGGTAAACGGGGTGTTGTCAGTAAAAATAAATGATAGGGTGCTCCATATTGTGGAATCTCCACAAGTGGAGGAATTATATGCAGGTTTGTTTTATATTCTTCCTTATTTTGTATTAAACATGTAGGAGAATTGGATAACGTGTATTGAAAAAACTAGTACCTATAGAAAAAGAATATACTAGGTATAAGAAGAGGCAAAGAAATTTATTTACACCGGTAAAAGCATAGAAATTAAATATAAATAGGTAAAAACACATTTAAAAAATTATAGGTTATGAAAAAGTAAACAAATGTCAAATGTTAGAAACCTAAATTTAAAAATAAAATTTAAAAGTAAACTACGTACACGTCATCAATCAGCTGATCGGGCACGGTTGTCAATGTGATGCTAAAATCCTTGCATCAAGGGAAAGTGGTAGTGCAACTACAGGGCGATAGATGGCGTTTACATGAATAATACGAAAATGTCAAAAGTCTGAGTTTTTATAACCTATATGATGCACCGCCAAAAGTATGTTTTTAGCCATTTTTAAAGACATTTTCTGATATAAAACTCAAAAATTTTGCCATCTAAAGTCAGTCTCTGGTATATATATTATTATTTCATGTATCCAACATATATTTTGTTAAATATTCTAATATATAATTAATAATAATCCTATTTACCTCTCTAACAGCTGTTAAAGGTAACAAAGGTCCATTATTATCCCGTTCTGCCTCAAAATAGCGTATTAAGGATGACACCAACTCTTGACTCCGACTATTTAAATGCTTCGGCATTTTAAATATAGGAAACACAAAAAAACGATATATAACAAACACAAAAACGGCAATGAAAACTTAAACGATATAAAATAACACAAACAACAAACAAAATAAACGAAATAATACACGAATTAAACGAAATATTCAAAAACACAACTGACAGCTTCGAAATTCTAAAACGTCAAATTCTTTTTTATGTGTCATTTAAATATGAAAAATTTGAATGTAAACATGACAACATCACAATTGTTGCCAACTTAATTTGGTTAAAATGCATTCAAATATTCGATTTAGTCATTTAGTGTTGGTACCAATGCGTAAAATTTTTGTTTTATTGATGACGTGTACGTAGTTTACTTTTAAATTTACTATAACCATGGTTATATGAATTAACTGTGACGTCATGACTTATTTAACCGTAGTATTACATAGTATTCACGCGAAAAAACGACTTAAGTTATTAGATGTCCATTTTTTAGCACAAACACAAATTTATAAACCTCAGATCACAAAAAAACAACTATCAAATGTCATTTATAATATTGTAATAATTATTAATAGTCGTTATTTTAAAATGTAGGTGGGGTTATGTTTACTGGTTTCCTATTGGCCAGACGTAAGAAACGCACTGTTGACCAACTCTTCCGTTTCAGTCCGTTTTGCTTACGTTACGTCATACGCTTACGTTCATTTATAAACAAGAGTACATACATTCTAAAGTTGATCTTTTTGCAGTGCGTCTACGTCTACGTTCCGTTCCGTCAAACTATAAATCCGGCTTAAGATTTGTTGCAGGTTGTGAGTCCAGAAACATAGTTGGAAGTCACGGTCTTCACAATACCGTGCTTGTAAGCTAAATTAGCAAAGTATTATTAATTATTTATTAATGATGTTTCAATGTTTGTAAATAAAAGTAATTTTTTTCAAAGAATATTTTTATTTTTAATAACTTAAGCCCAAAATTGGTGAATTATCGATTTGTTGAGCGCTGGGGAGTTTTGTTACTTTATGTTTTTAAATGTAATTTGACAGCTACCGTTTTAAGGTTAGAATGTAAGTAGAAATGTCGGCACTAATAAATAATTATTTTCCGTTTTTTAGAAGCAGGATTGTACAAATTTTAAAAATGTCTGGAAAATCTTCGATCGAGCAAGTTAAAGCAAATGCCAATTTGGCGAAAAACACTATTGAGGAGTTAAAAAATGAGGTATATATTGTAGACTATCCTGTCCCATAGGTACACAGAAAAAATTAACTTTGTTTTAGTTGAAAATAATTAACAACGAATATAACAACATATTGGCCAGAGAATTATTGGAGGAAAATGCTCGGCTCATTCAAGCTGTTGAAGAAGCCAAAAAGCATCTCGTCAATTTGGAAGTTAAAAAAGGGATCAAGCAAATTCCTGTGCCTACACTGGACAGCAACATTGTTCTCTCTACACCATCAAGTATAGACACACAAACTCAATGTGAAGATGTGAAAATTAAAGAACAAAAACCCAAAAAGGAGAAAAAAGCTAAGGAACCAAAAGAAGCGCCTCAAGAATTGCCCATTGATATTGGAAGACTTGATTTGAGAATTGGGAAAGTCGAGGATGTGCAAAGGCATCCCGATGCAGATTCTCTATATGTTTTGAAAATCAATTGTGGTGAAGAAAAACCGAGGACTGTTTGCTCTGGACTTGTCAAACATGTACCAATCGAGGAACTTAGAGACAGGGCTGTAATTTTGCTGTGCAACCTGAAACCTGTTAAGGTAAACCACTTTTTTATTATTTATAAATTATATCTAATAATAATACTAATTTTGTAATTTTTTTTAGATGCGTGGAATAACTTCTGAAGCCATGGTGATGTGTGCAAGTAGTGAACAAGGCGTAGAAGTACTTTGCCCACCAAGTGGCTCTCAACCAGGCGATTTGCTTGAATGTGATGGTTACACTAGGCAACCTGATCCTGTAATGAACCCCAAGAAGAAAATATTTGAGACTGTGGCCCCAGACTTGCACACCAATGATTTGCTTCAAGCTTGTTACAAAGGTGTGCCATGGAAGGTTATGGATAAAGGATTTTGCGTTGCCAAAACATTGAAAAATGTCCCAGTTAAATAAAATTATTTAGTTTTGTTGATATTCTTTATTTAATAAATTTTTATTTAGTATTTTTCTTTTAGCGTGAAACCGAAGTTGCGCAATGTTTGAAAATTCGACACCGTGAAGTAAACCGATTAAGCGTAAACATTTAAATTTTCAAAATTTCCAAAATCTTTACATTCTTTACAATTTCAAAATTACTAAAATTCTTAAATTTTTTATTTTTTCAAATTCTTTTCAAAATTATTCACATTTTAAAAATTCTTAAATAAAAAAAAAAAATTCAAGTTTTTTTAAAATTTCCAAAATTATTCACATTTCCGAAATCCTAAAATTTTTAAAACATTCAAGTTTAAAAATTCCGTAAATTCTTATATTTTTAAATTTTGAAATTATTTACAAAATTCTTTATATTTTAAAATTTTCCAAAATTCTTCAAATTTTTTAACTTTTTAGTTTCCAAAATTCTTTACATTTTATGAAGTTTCGAAATTCTTCACATTTTAAAAATTAACAAAATTCTTAAAATTTCAAAAATTGTCATTTTTTTAAATTCTCCAACTTTTCAGTTTCAAAATTCTTTACATTTAAAGTTTCTTCAAAATGCCTTAAATTCTTATATTTAAATTTTTTTTATGTTTTGAAATTATTTTCATAATTCGATTTAAAATTTTTAACATTTACAAAATTCATTAAATTTTTAAAAATTCTTCAAATTCCTTCAAAATTGCTGATTTTCTAAATCATTAAATTTTAAAAACTTTAAAATTTTCAAATTATTTCAAACATTCTTCATATTTTAACAATTTACAAAACTCTTCAAATTATAAATTTCCAAAATTGCTGAAGTTAAAATTCTTTAATTTTTTTAAATAATTTAATCCTTTAAAATTTACAAATCCGTCACCCAATCAGCATTTTAAGTTTAAATAACTACAAATTTACTACTGTCAACTTTTTAAAGTATGTTTTACGGTTAACCAAAACGGTTTTATAACGCTATAGATACGAAAAATCACCTAATTTGGGGAATGGTTATTTTGTTATTTTACCCATGTGCACATAATAACCTTTTTGATCTACTAAGAGAATAACGTAATAAAAATAATATAAATGCCACAAATTTACGTAAAAATAACGCTATAATTACCATCTGTTTGCTCTCTCTTTCTAAAACAGTTACATCCGTAATTTCTTTGTTCTTTTAATTTATATTTTACAAAATGGTACATACAAAGTAATAAAGGGGACCCTAAAGTAAAATTTAAAAATATAACTTAAATTATTAAAACTAATAATATTTTGCATTAAAACTCAAACGCACATTATTTTATTGATAAAAATGGGCACGATACATCTTAAAAATTATATACCCTCTAATTATTTTACCGTTTTAAGAAAAATTATTGCTTGGGTAAAAATTCAACAAAACTTAAAACCTACAAAATTTTACCAAATTTTTTAAAAATCATTTAGTTTTAATCATTTTTTAATAACTAAAACTTTCCTTATTAAATTTTAGAAAAATATTATATAAATGTTTAGATAAGTAATGGATGCCATCTTAAAAAACTCATTATGGCGACCTGAAAAAAATTTTCCCTTAAAGATTTATTTTTCGCTTTAAACTTATTTTTTCTTTTGGGTCAATATTAATAGTATTTATTACCACTAATATCCCTAAAAAATATCAGGAGAATAGGAATTATTTACGGTTATAAAGTAAAATTATGACTTATGAACAACATTTACCATTAAGTAAAAATTCTGACGTTAAAATTACCGTTAAATTTTCCTTTAGGTGTAATACACTTATAAGTAATTTTCTTTCGTAAAAATTACGTCCCTCATAATACTTAAAAGTGTTGAAACTCAAGGGTTATTAAAATAGGTAAAAATAACATAAATAAAACATATTAAATAACTTTAAAAAAAGTTTTAAGGTTAATTTAACAAAATATTTACTTAAATTAAGTAATATTGCCTCAAAGCTCTACGCTTTTACTTAAAATGCTGCTTGGGCAGATTATTAGAATGTCCAAAATTCTTCAGATTTTTAAAATTCATAAAAAATACAGAATATCAAAGGATTTTAGAATTTTTAAAATTCTTCAAAATTTCAGTCAAATTTTTAAAATTCTTCAAATTTGTAAAGTTTGGAAAATTCTTTAAATTTTCACTTTATTTAAAGAATTTCCAAAATTTACCAAAAACCAGAATAAATGATTTTTAAATTGGTAAACTCCTTTAAACTTCCAAAATTCTTCAAATTTTCAAAAATTCCAAAATACTTTAAATTTTAAAATTCTCCAAAATTTCTAGAACTCCTTGGATTTATATATATTCTTTTCAATTTCCAAATCTCTTTATTAAAATAATTTCTTCAGACTTTCAAAATTTCAATAATTTATCAAATTTGCAAAATTTGATAAATTATTGAAAAGGCAAATTTTTCAAAACTTCTTTAAATTTTGCAAAATTCTTCTAAAACTGAATAAACTTTATAAACTTCTAAATTCCCTTAAACTTCCAAAATTCTTCAAATTTTAAAAAAATCTAAAATTCTTCAAATTTACCAAATTAATCAATTTTTTTTTAAATTCCAGAATTTCTTAGATATATAAAATTTCTAAAATCCTTCAATCATTCCAAAATTCATCAAAATTTCCAAAATTCTTTATTTTAAAAATTTCCAAAATTCTTCAGATTTTCAAAAATTACAAAATTCTTTAAATTTTTAGAATTTCCAAAATACTTCAGTTTTCAAAATTTCCTAAATTCATAAAATATCCAAAATTTTTAAAATCATAAATTTTTTTAAAATTGTTAACTTTCTAAATTTTTAGAATTTAAAATTTTCAAAATTTACAAAATATTCTAAATTTCCAAATTTTCAAATATTTCAAAAATTTTCCAAATTTTTGAAATTTTTTGAATCAAACCTTTATTAAATTTATTTCATGTATTTCTTCAATCATTTTATCGGTTTTTCCTACTTGGGTACATATTTACACGTGTAGTCCATTTAAGAATACTTAAGTGCGATTAATTAATTCTAAAGTAAGAATAATTTAAAATTCCAGTCAAACAAGTTCTCTAACTCAACAAATCCATGATATCGGCGTGGGAAAGCTTGTTATTTCCCGCCGAGTTGTTATTAGCGGGCGGCATCAAAGGCTGATTGCAGCTCATTCGGTTCATGGGAACTTTATTCGCGTTCGTACTGGGCAAAAGATTATCCAGCGCGCTCCAGTTCTGCGCGCTCTGACTCCGACCCCAGGCATTTTGATTCGCCGCCGCGATCGCGTTGCCATTGCTGGCCCAAGGGTTGGAGATGGCGCTCGCGTTCTGCATCGGCGACATCTGGAAATGGTCCGAGTTTTGGGTGTGCTGAGGTTTCGCCCATTGGTAGTTCGTCTGAGGCTTGGGCATGGTCAAGTTCACGCTGCTCACGGTCGTTTTCGGAGGTTCCAGGCAGGACGTCAAATCTTTCGGTGGCGGGGTTTCAGCCTTCTCCATTTTCATCGGCTCAATACTGATTTGTTTGCTGTACCCTTGCATCGGAGGACTCGCAAAATTATCCAAACCAAGACCGCTGAAAGTGTCCTCTAACTGCATTGGTCGGGGTTTTCTCGCGATTTCCGGCATATTCATGGCCAACGCTTTTTGTTCGTCCTTGACGGAATTCAGTTGCTGCAACTTGGTTCTGTGCTCGGTTTCGACTTGTTGAAACATCTCCTTCACCAAAGCGGTCAAGGCGTTGAACTGCGCGATGGTGAGGCCGTTCTCTATGCACAAAGGGATCAAGAACGGCAAGACCCTGGACGCCATGATCTCCTTGCTGATGCCCAGCTTTTTGTGCGTCATCGCCAACTTATAAATGCCCAAAATGCCCATCAGAACGGCGGGTTCCCTCGACGGGATCTGCGGCAGGAACGGCAGCACCTCGTCCAGCACCAACAACTTGTCCAGGTGCTTCAACAGTTTACCGAAAATATATCAAATTTACCAATTTTACAGAATAAATAATTTTTAAATTGGTAAATTCCTTTAAACTTCCAAAATTCTTCAAATTTTCAAAAATTCTAAATTACTTTAAATTTTAAAATTCTCCAAAATTTCTAGAACTCCTTAGATTTATAAAATTTCCAAAATTCTTTTCAATTTCCAAATCTCTTTATTAAAAGAATTTCTTCAGACTTTCAAAATTTCAATAATTTATCAAATTTGCAAAATTTTTCAAAATTTCCAAAATTTAGCAAATTTTTCAAAACTTCCTAAAATTTTGCAAAATTCTTCTAAAACCGAATAAACTTTATAAACTTCTAAATTCCCTTAAACTTCCAAAATTCTTCAAATTTTAAAAAAATCTAAAATTCTTCAAATTTACCAAATTAATCAATTTTTTTAAAAATTCCAGAATTTCTTAGATTTATAAAATTTCTAAAATCCTTCAATCATTCCAAAATTCATCAAAATTTACAAAATTCTTTATTTTAAAAATTTCCAAAATTCTTCAATTTTCAAAAATTACAAAATTCTTTAAATTTTTAGAATTTCCAAAATACTTCAGTTTTCAAAATTTCCTAAATTCATAAAATATCCAAAATTCTATAATTTTTTAAATTTACAAAATTATTTAAATTTTTGAAATGTCCAAAATTTTAACATTTCCAAAATTTTTAAAATCATAATTTTTTTTTAAATTGTTTAACTTTCTAAATTTTTTACAATTCCTAAAATTTTCAAAATTTACAAAATATTCTAAATTTCCAAATTTACAAATATTTCAAAATTTCAAAAATTTTCCAAATTTTTGAAATTTTTTGAATCAAACCTTTATTAAATTTATTTCATATATATCATTTTATCGGTTTCTCCTACTGGGCTATATATTTACACGTGTAGTCCATTTAAGAATACTTAAGTGCGATTAATTAATCCTAAAGTAAGAATAATTTAAATTCCAGTCAAACAAGTTCTCTAACTCAACAAATCCATGATATCGGCGTGGGAAAGCTTGTTATTTCCCGCCGAGTTGTTATTGGCGGGCGGCATCAAAGGCCGATTGCAGCTCATTCGATTCATGGGAACTTTATTCGCGTTCGTACTGGGCAAAAGATTATCCAGCGCGCTCCAGTTCTGCGCGCTCTGACTCCGACCCCAGGCATTTTGATTCGCCGCCGCGATCGCGTTGCCATTGCTGGCCCAAGGGTTGGAGATGGCGCTCGCGTTCTGCATCGGCGACATCTGGAAATGGTCCGAGTTTTGGGTGTGCTGAGGTTTCGCCCATTGGTAGTTCGTCTGAGGCTTGGGCATGGTCAAGTTCACGCTGCTCACGGTCGTTTTCGGAGGTTCCAGGCAGGACGTCAAATCTTTCGGTGGCGGGGTTTCAGCCTTCTCCATTTTCATCGGCTCAATACTGATTTGTTTGCTGTACCCTTGCATCGGAGGACTCGCAAAATTATCCAAACCAAGACCGCTGAAAGTGTCCTCTAACTGCATTGGTCGGGGTTTTCTCGCGATTTCCGGCATATTCATGGCCAACGCTTTTTGTTCGTCCTTGACGGAATTCAGTTGCTGCAACTTGGTTCTGTGTTCGGTTTCGACTTGCTGAAACATCTCCTTCACCAAAGCGGTCAAGGCGTTGAACTGCGCGATGGTGAGGCCGTTCTCTATGCACAAAGGAATCAAAAACGGTAAAACCCTGGACGCCATGATCTTATTCCTGATGCCCAGCTTTTTGTGCGTCATCGCCAACTTATAAATGCCCAAAATGCTCATCAGGACGGCGGGTTCCCTCGACGGGATCTGCGGCAGGAACGGCAGAACCTCGTCCAGCACCAACCACTTGTCCAGGTGCTCCAACAGTTTACCGACGCAGAGCAAACAATTCACCCGCACCGACAAAATTTTCACTTTTGTTTTAATTTTTAATATTCTTAAAATTTTCAATATTCTTTAAATTTTTAAAATTTCGAAAATTCTTTGAAGTTTCAAAATTCTTCAAAAATTTTCAAATCTCTAAATTTAAAGAATTTTCAAAATTTCCAAAATATATCAAATTTACCAATTTTACAGAATAAATAATTTTTAATAATTTATCAAATTTGCAAAATTTTTCAAAATTTCCAAAATTTAGCAAATTTTCTAAATTCCTTTAAAATGTCAAATTTTTCAAAACTTCTTAAAATTCTTCTAAAATCGAATAAACTTTATAAACTTCTAAATTCCCTTAAACTTAAACCAAAATTCTTCAAATTTTAAAAAAATCTAAAATTCTTCAAATTTTTTAAAAATTACAGAATTTCTTAGATTTATAAAATTTCTAAAATCCTTTAATCATTCCAAAATTCATCAAAATTTCCAAAATTCTTTATTTTAAAAATTTCCAAAATTCTTCAATTTTCAAAAATTACAAAATTCTTTAAATTTTTAGAATTTCCAAAATACTTCGGTTTTCAAAATTTCCTAAATTCATAAAATATCCAAAATTCTACAATTTTTTAAATTTACAAAATTATTTAAATTTTTGAAATGTCCAAAATTTTAACATATCCAAAATTTTTAAAATCATAATTTTTTTTAAAATTGTTTAACTTTCTAAATTTTTTACAATTCCTAAAATTTTCAAAATTTACAAAATATTCTAAATTTCCAAATTTCCAAATATTTCAAAAATTTTCCAAATTTTTGAAATTTTTTGAATCAAACCTTTATTAAATTTATTTCATATATTTCTTCTTCAATCATTTTATCGGTTTTTCCTACTTGGGTACATATTTACACGTGTAGGCCATTTAAGAATACTTAAGTGCGATTAATTAATCCTAAAGTAAGAATAATTTAAATTCCAGTCAAACAAGTTCTCTAACTCAACAAATCCATGATATCGGCGTGGGAAAGCTTGTTATTCCCCGCCGAGTTGTTATTAGCGGGCGGCATCAAAGGCTGATTGCAGCTCATTCGGTTCATGGGAACTTTATTCGCGTTCGCACTGGGCAGAAGATTATCCAGCGCGCTCCAGTTCTGCGCGCTATGACTCCGACCCCAGGCATTTTGATTCGCCGCCGCGATCGCGTTGCCATTGCTGGCCCAAGGGTTCGCGTTCTGCATCGGCGACATCTGGAAATGGTCCGAGTTTTGGGTGTGCTGAGGTTTCGCCCATTGGTAGTTCGTCTGAGGCTTGGGCATGCTCAAGTTCACGCTGCTTACGGGCGTTTTCGGAGGTTCCAGGCAGGACGTCAAATCTTTCGGTGGCGGGGTTTCAACCTTCTCCATTTTCACCGGCTCAATACTGATTTGTTTGCTGTACCCTTGCATCGGAGGACTCGCAAAATTATCCAAACCAAGACCGCTGAAAGTGTCCTCTAACTGCATTGGTCGGGGTTTTCTCGCGATTTCCGGCATATTCATGGCCAACGCTTTTTGTTCGTCCTTGACGGAATTCAGTTGCTGCAACTTGGTCCTGTGTTCGGTTTCGACTTGCTGAAACATCTCCTTCACCAAAGCGGTCAAGGCGTTGAACTGCGCGATGGTGAGGCCGTTCTCTATGCACAAAGGGATCAAGAACGGCAAGACCCTGGACGCCATGATCTCCTTGCCGATGCCCAGCTTTTTGTGCGTCATCGCCAACTTGTAAATCCCCAAAATGCCCATCAGGACGGCGGGTTCCCTCGACGGGATCTGCGGCAGGAACGGCAGAACCTCGTCCAGCACCAGCCACTTGTCCAGGTGCTCCAGCAGTTTGCCGACGCACAGCAAACAATTCACCCGCACCGAGAGAGTGTTCGTCGACAGGCACAGCTTTTTGATCCTGGGCAGCAGGCTGTTCTTTACGTTGGAGTGGTCGAGTAGGCCCGCGAAGGTCGGCAGCACCGACAAGCATAGTTCGTGGATTTGCGGGGAATCCGAGTCTAGGCCTCGGTAGAGCATGGGGAGTACGTGCTGTTGGACGTCCTCGGCGGGGGTCAGTTTTAGAAGTAATTCCATGCGTTGAAGCATTATTAGAAGAATCTAAAATTATTTTTCCTGTTACTATCTTAGAGGGGTCTAAAAATTTCTTGAAATTGATAAGAAGTTTCGAAATTTTGAATTTCCAAAATTCTTTTCAAAATTTTAAAACTTTTTTAATTTTCCGAAATTATTCTTTCAAACTTGTATAAAATTGTATAAAATTCTTCACATTTTCCAAATTCCTTCAAATTTGTAAAAATTTTCAAATTCATCAATTTTACAAAAATTTTTAACTCTTTAAATTTACAAAATAAATCACATTTTTTAATGTTTAAATTCTTTAAAATTTCCAAATTTCTGCAAACCTAAATTTTCAATATTTTTTAAATACTTTGACTTTTCAGTAGTTCCAAAAAATTATTCTTTCAAACTTGTATAAAACTTATAAAATTCTTTTAAAATCCTTTAAATCTTCAAAAATTAACAAAATTTAACAAATCTCCAAAATTCTTCAAATTTTTAAAAATTCTTTAAAATTACAAAATAAATAACATTTTTTATTTTCAAAACAATAAATTTAAAAAATTAACCAAACTTCAAAATTCTGCACTTAAATTTTAAAAAATTCCAAAAAAAATTATACACATTTTCAAAATTTCCAAATTCTCTAACTTTTCAGTATTTCCAAAATTCTTTAAATTTTCAATATTCAAATTTCCAAAATTCATGAAATTTTCAAAATTCTTCAGTTTTACAAATTCTTTTACATTTTTTAAATTCTATGAATTTACATAATTCTACTCATTTCCAACATTCTTCGAATTTTCAAAATTACAAAACATCGCATTTTTTTATTTTCCAAAATTTTCTTTTAAAATTGTATAAAATTCATAATATTCTTGACATGTTTAAAACTCCTTTAAATTTTCAAAATGTCTTTCTTTAAATTTTCAATATTCAAATATCCAAAATTCATGAAATTTTCAAAATTCTTCAGTTTTACAAATTCTTTTACATTTTTTAAATTCTATGAATTTACATAATTCTACTCATTTCCAACATTCTTCGAATTTTCAAAATTACAAAACATCGCATTTTTTTATTTGCCAAAATTTTCTTTTAAAATTGTATAAAATTTATAATATTCTTGACTCCTTTAAATTTTCAAAATGTCTTAAAATTGATGTTGATAAAATTGTAGCACCAAAATTTTTGCATAATTTTTAAAACTAAATAAAATGAATAAATTCTTTAAATTTGTAAAATCTCCAAAATTCATGAGATTTTCAAAATATTCAAAATCAATTTCTTTAAATTTACAAGATTTTTTTAATAAATATAATAATAAACGTTTATTCATTGGCTCCACCAAAAGGCTCTTTACCGAAGTCCTTCTGCCTGTTACAAGATTTTTTTAATTTCCAAAATTTCCAAATTCTTTTACTTTTCAGTATTTCCAAAATTCTTCAAAATTTCAATATTCATAAATTTTTGAAATTCCCTAAATTTAAATAATTCTTCTCATTTTCAGAATTTTCAAAATTCCAAAACATCGCATTTTTTAATTTTCAAAAATTATTCTTTTTAAATTTGAAAATTGTATAAAATTATAAAATTCTTCACATTTTTAAAATTCCCTTAAATTTTCAAAATTTCCAATTTCCAAAATATGCAAATTTTTAAAATTTATTTAAATTTTTAATTTCAAAAATGTCTTAAAACTGATATTGATAAAATTGGTGCACCAGAATTTTTGCATAATTTGTATACCTAAATAAATTGAATAAATAGTTGGAAATTATTTCCAAAAATCTTTAAATTTGTAAAATCTCCAAATTCTTTAGATTTTGTTATTCAAAATTTACCGAATTTTCAAAATCTTTTAATTTCTAAAATTCAAAATTTCCAAATTCTTTAACTTTTCAGTATTTCCAAAATTTTTCAATTTTCAATACTTAAATTTACAAAACTCAAATTTTTCAAAATTCATCAAAATTTAAAAAAAATTTTTACGTTTTTTAAATTTTCGAAATTCTCTAAATTTACAAAATTCTTAGCATTTTCAGAATTTACAAAATTCTTCAGATTTTCAAAATTTTTCAAAATTCTCCACATTTTCAAGATTTCAAATTTTGAAAATTTAAAAAAAATTACAAAATTAAACGAATTCTCCAAACTTTCCAAATATTTTAGATTTTCGGAATTTTTCAAAATTTTTCATTTTCAAAATATTCAAAATTCCACTTTAAAAATTTACAAAATTTCTTTAAAAATTAAAACATTTACAAAATTTACCGAATTCTTGAAATTTTAAGATTTCAAAAATTCCACCGAATTCTTCAAAATTTTTAATATTCTTTAAAATTTACAAAATTCATCGCATTTTCAGAATTTCCAAAATTGTTTAATTTATCTAAAAAAAAATTCTTTTTTTTTCAAAATTTCATTTTTTTTCCTTAAAAAAAATTTAAATTTACAAAATTTCTTCAAATTTTTAAACATTCTAAACATCATAACTTTTAAAAATTCCAACATTTTATTAATTTATTTACCTGAATAGGTTCCATAAGCTTCATGACGCCCTTCAAATGTGGTAGAACATAGGTGCAGTACTCTTTTTGGCTGCACTCCTGGGCAATATCAAAAACGCTGGGCAATATAAATGGAACCATTGCCGGTTGAGCCAAATCCCTGACAAGACAAGATAATACTCTTTGCACTTTTACTCTTTGCGGCAGCTTGGGCAAAGCCTCCGGTAGACCCTTGTAGAATTGCGATTTCTGCAGGTTATCCCATTGCAGTAGGGAGTCCAAGTAGGTTAGGGTTTTAATACCGACGTCTTCAAAATAAGGAATCTAAAAGATATAGATCAAGATACGTTAATATAAAAAAATAGTATAAAAAATTAGGTATTTAACTCAAACAAAATGTCAATAAAAACTTGTATAGAAAACCTTTTATAACGTCATGAATAGCGTAACGGGCGCGACCTTAGAAAATCGACAAATGCGACCAAATTGGATTCTAAAGTTGATACTGTAAAATTTTGGATGAAAGCTTATAGTAATAATTTTGTTTGTAAAACTTGAATAGTAACCTTAAACAAGCACGTATTTTAAATGCACAAATATTAAATATAAAATGTAACGGGTGCGACATTTGAACATTTTATCGAGTGTTGAAACTCTCCGTATTTATTCTTAATGTTAGCTTCTTAGCATCACAATGTACAAATATTTTAAGGTTATAAATTACGTCGCAATTAAACTATTTGACTTCAGATATAGTTGTTATTTTGTTAAATAACACATTTGATTTTTTGTAAAGGTGGGGTAAGGTTTGTGGAAATACCTGTATGCAAATAGTTTTATAAACTTCTCTAGGCACTCATTTTTATTAAACACTTGCACGCTTGTGCCTAATAAAATATGTGAATAAAATTCATAATATTCTTCACATTTTTAAAATTCCTTTAAACTTTCAAAATTTACAAATTCCTTCGAATTTTTAATATTTCCAAAATTCAACCAATCTCTAAAATTCCTTAAATTTTTAGAAATTCTTTAAATTTACAAAATAAATCACATTTTTTTAAATTTTAAAACTTCATAATTGTAAAATTTACCAAATTCTTCAAAATTTCAAAAAATCTGCAAAATTTTTAAATTTAAAAAATTTCCAAAAATACGCAAATTTTTAAATTCCTTTTAATTTTTAAAATTTTGTTAAATTTTTAAAATTTTAACTTTTAAACTTCACATTTTCAAAATTTTAAAAATGTCTTAAAATTGATGTTTTTTGTCAAATTTTTAAAACTCTAAATAAAATTAATAAATCCTTTAAATTTGTAAAATCTCCAAAATTTTTCAAATTTTTAAATTTCCAAAGTTTTTAAAATTGCTTTTTTTTCAAAATTTACCGAAAATACTAAAAATTTTAATTTTAAGAATTTCCAAATTTACAAGATTTTTTTAATTTTAAAAATTTCCATATTCTTTTACTTTTCAGTATTTCCAAAATTCTTCAAATTTTCAATATTCATAAATTTTCGAGATTCCCTAAATTTACATAATTCTTCTCATTTTCAGAATTTACAAAATTCTTCGAATTTTGAAAATTCCAAAACATCGCTTTTTTAATAATTAACGACTTTTATTGATCAAAAATAACCAACTGGCCATCGACCAAAGTCTGAGTGTTTACATAATATAACATATTATAAAAAAATTAAATGTAAATATACAGCGTGTTATGTAATTAATGTTATATGTATATTAAAATGGGTTGTTCCTTAGGGTCCATAAAGAAGCACCTGAAACTTTTTTTTTCTAAATTCCAAAGTCTAAAAATAATTTATAATAACCTTTATCCTACCAAAAAGTACGCCACTGATCGACTAGGAACTTTAGGTTAATCTGGTGGATTTATTATGTTATGGTTGGTAACAACAGTATTTCCAAAATCTCTCAAAAAAGTTGACAAACATTGTTTAAATTTAGCTTAATTACAAAAATGACAAAATTAACAATGCAAATTGTCAATTTGGCGTTTTTATTAATTGTTGGTTATTTCATTTTTGTATTGAAGGTAAATTCAAACAAAATCTGCCAACTTTTATGACAGAATCTAGTGCATTTCTTTTAAATTTTAGGTTATGTTTTCAAATTTTAAATATCTTAACTAAGGGAAGTGCTTTTGGATTTATTTACACAAATTAAATGTTTAAAGTGTAACCTGTGAACTGGTCCCAATTTCATCTGAGTAAACAGAGAATAAAACTGATGAAAAAATTAATTTTGTGGTTATGGATTTCAAATTTCAAAGGTACTAAATTTTCTAATAATTGCTTAAGCTAATAGCTGGATCAGTAAATAAATACAGAAGGGTATTAGAGCTTTAAGGGCATAAAACTTTTGTATTTATTGAGTTTTTATTTATTTTTTGCAAGAAAATTTTTTAGTAACAATGCATAGCTACTTTGTTGGTTGCTATCTATGTACTCACAAAATACAGGTGTGCAGAGATAAACAAGTGTGTAACCAGTGGCGTATCACAAAAAATATAAAAAACTTCTAATGCATATTTTTTGTTTATCTTTGTAAAAATGCTTTTTAAAATATTTTTCCTTTATTCCTTTTGTCAAAAGGTATTCAGTATTTTAATATATAACATTAATTACATAACACCCTGTATATAAAGAAGTAATGTAAAAAAAAATAATTTTCCAAAATTCTTTATAAATTCGAAAATTGTATAAAATTTATAAAATTCTTCACATTTTTTAAATTCCTTTAAATTTTCAAAATTCTTCAAAATTTCACTTGCTTGCTTGTGCCTAATAAAATATGTGAATAAAATGGCATTTAAAAAACTAGAAACATAATATACAATTATCTACACACTAGAGTGCATTAAATTTGGAAAAAGTTAGGTTAAAATCGTTTGATAGATGTCAGATTGGTAAAAAGTGAGGTTAAAACCGCCTGTTGTTTTTTTCCTCCCAAAACGTCAAACACATTTAAAAATATATGATTCCACTTTAAAACACTATAAGATTCATCTAAAATATTTACCTTAACAAATTGATGGGCATCAGGCCGCACCTCTGGTGTGATATTCAACAACAACTTGGCATATTCCCTTAGAGCCTCCGGCATGCATTGCAGCCTATTATTTGTCAAATTCTTCAACTGCTGAGCCCTGCTTTTGAATTGTTGCAAATCCTTCACAGGCGAGATTGTCTGTCTTGTGGGAGAGTTCAAAGTAAATGCCAACATACCCAGAGAAAACATATCGCTGGAAGCGGAATGTTTTTCATGTACGATACATTCAGGGGCTAAGTAATCAAGGTTTGGACGACAAACAGGCGGAAGTGTGGGGCTGTAGTTTTCAAAAGGGTAATTCGGTGGATTGTTAGCTGGGTTGGTGTTGTGTACACAGAAGTCCAAGCCAAATATTTTCCAGACTCCTTGGCTGTTAATGACAATAGATTCTGGACATATGTTTTTGTGTAACAGTTTTACATCATTATGTAGGAATGCCAAGCCCTCGCTTAATTGTAATAATCCATACTTGGTTTCAACGTCGTACAACTTATAATCAGACATGTTTGCAGGTTGGGGCATGTTTGTAGTTTCTCCAAGAACATTTGCCAAACTAGCAAAAACCGGTTCTGTAGCAAATGCCAAACTTTCCCGACTTTCCTCTAAAGGGTGTTGAACCGTTAATATTTGGGGATGTCGTATTTTCGTTAATTGCATAATTCCCTTCCTTAATGTTTCCAAAACAATTTCTCGATCTGTTCTGTTGTATTTCTCGAGTTGTCTTTTTTCAAACACAAATATTGATGCCTCTTGTTTGGTGGAGCGTTTGCTTCCCTTGTAAATTTTCCATAACAAACCTTTAAATTTCCTGTGTTATTAAATAAACTAATTAGTAAATTTAATAGTTACCAGGTCCTGCTGAAGCTATGTGGGCAGCTGCGTCAAATTCTCTTGTGACAGGGTTTCCAGGCAAGACACCCGATAATTGCGATACTGTACTGCTTACCGAACTACTTACTTGCGTGTAAATTTTATTAAACACATCCATTTTTTCGAAAAGTTTTAACAAACATAAGCAACAACAAAAAGCGACTGACAGCTGTCAAAATTGCCTCTTCTTCTTCTGTCAATGACAGACAGTCGGGCCATCAGTTGTTCTTCTTGCAGTTCATATAAATGTCTTTGTTCGAGCCAACTTGGCTCAGCCAAGGGGTATGCACAGTGTTGCCAGATTGGGCGATTTTTCACAAATTGGGCGATTTTTAACTCGCTCTGGCGACCATAAATTTACAAAAATCACAAGTCGCCATTTGGGCGATTTTCGGCGCTAGATAACTCTTCTTTAAGTTTTCGGGCACCCTGTGTTTTCGGTGTTAAAAATTGGGTAAATGGGCCAAATATACGAAGAAACACAAGGACTGATCAGTCCAGTTCTCGAGAACGTGAAACAACATTTAAAGATTAGTAAATATTAGTGATGCAACGGTTTCGGGTTTTACGGTTACGGTTACGGTTACGGTTAGCTATACGGTTACGAATAAATTCACGGTTATTCAAAAAAAAATTTACAGAATTACGAAAAATAAAGTTTTGAAATTAATACATACGTTCAGTAAAGGTTAAATAATAATTTATGTAAAACAAAAACAGAATTTCTAATAAAACTGTAAAACAATAGGAAATGAGTTACATTTTAAACCTAAAAACAGTAAAGTAAAACCTAAGTAGGTACCTGAATAATATATTAAAAATATAAAAAAATTAAATGTTAATATTCAAAATTTACGAGTCAAATTTTTATTTAAAAAACATAACATCTGCAAATTCTGCGGAATCAGCCTGTTCCTATTTGGTGTTTGCACAAGACCTGCAGTCGAAAACAACCTCTCCGAATTCACTGACAATGGTTTGTATAATACCTTAGTGCCAACACTCTTAAACGCCGAAACGTGTAACACGTTTTCCAGAATGTAAACGGATTTGACTTAGGTGGTATATTTGGTAACGTTAATTACTCTTCAATCTTTTTTTTACATGCATTCACAAAAGTCGTTTTTTCGCGTAAATACCATGAAATACTATGGTTATTAAACTTAACCTTGGTTAATAGTTAAGTAATTTTTGCGTTTAGAGTGCGTTCAAAAATTCTAACTATGACGTCACAAATACCAGACCATAAAACTATATCGCTGAGCTAGTTATTCAACGTGGTTAATAATCTTTCTCTTTTTAATATATATTTGTCTGTTTTGATCTGTCAAAAGTTGTTTACATTTGAAATTTAAAATATTTTAAGTAGGTACAATTGCTCTTAAACCGAATTTAAACTTTGTATTAAAATGGTAAACGGGGTGTTGTCAGTAAAAATAAATGATAGGGTGCTCCATATTGTGGACTCTCCACAAGTGGAGGAATTATATGCAGGTTTGTTTTATATTCTTTCTTATTTTGTATTAAACATGTAGGAGAATTGGATAACGTGCACTGAAAAAACTAGTATCTATAGAAAAAGAATTTACTTGGTATAAGAAGAGGCAAAGAAATTTATTAAATATAAATAGGTAAAAACACATTTTAAAAATTATAGGTTATGAACAAGTAAACAAATGTCAAATGTTAGAAACCTAACCATGGTTATATGAATTAACTGTGACGTCATGACTTATTTAACCGTAGTATTACATAGTATTTACGCGAAAAAAACGACTAAAGTAGCATGAAAAACCGTAAATACGGTTACGGTTAACGACATACGGTTACGGTTAACCGTATAATATCGAAAACCGTGAATTAACCGTAACCGTAACCGTAACCGTTGCAACACTAGTAAATATGTAATATAAAGCAGATTTTACGCTGATTATAAATGTTAATTTAACGATGTTATTAAAATAAAAATCATGCGTGAACATGTTCAATTATTTTTTTTATTTTACAAGTAAAAATTCACAAAAAAATGTACTTAAAAAAACTGGCGACTTTTACTTTATTTTGGCGACTTTCGCCGCATCTGGTGGCGACATGAAATTTTTTTATCTGGCAACACTGGGTATGCACATTGTGCATTGCACAATCCACACCATAGAAAAAGGATCCACACATTATGTGGATTGTGGGGGTATGTAAATACAGTGTGATTTTCTAATAAATCTCCCTAAACTGCGCACCACCCAATGTGTCGCGACCACGGTCTTATATACAGGTCTTGCAACTTTAAGCTTCGTGGTGGCTTCCTTAACGTGCCAAGCCGCTAGGTGGCGCTAAGATCGAAGGGGTAAAGTCAATTAAACTACTACTTAGTTAAATGTGGAACTACTGCATAACCATAACCTAACTTTTTAAATTCTTTTTCTATGTTTTGTTTACATTTTCAAAAATTTAATATTTGTGAGTTTGTTTCGGATAATTTACGTTAACAAAATAGGACAACAAAGTCTATACTCTATGCACAAAGTCCTCGGCCGTCACATGCCCAGACCAAACATGTTAATGTATAAAATACATACGTATATCATATATATGTTACGGCTAATGTGTAAACATGGATAGTTTATTAAGTAGCTGGGTAGTTTATAAACTAGCCAAACTGTCAAACGTATTTTTAACTAAATTAGCGGCTAGTTTGTAAACCAACCAAGGGTCTTGGCTAATTTACTTGAAATTATTTAGGAATAGCTGGATAATTTGTAAACTATCCAATTCAATTTGGCTAATATGAAAACCAAAATTTCTAGTAACACAACAAACTAACCAACCAATATTCTGGCTAATTTATTAATAACCGATTTTTTTATTGTCTTGGCGGGGATGGGTTGATTGTTTATTTAAAATAATATATATTTCACCAACACGATGTGCTTAATTATATAATAATCATACAAAATGTGAAGGTGTTAATAATATGTTTTTTATTGCACATTGCCATGTTTTTAACCGCTCCTTATTTGTTAGCACTTTAAACATGGACCGCTTAATTTTAATGCCGGAACGATAGCTTTGCTGGTTACATTTTGGCACAACACAGGACTTCATGTCTATTAAAAAGCACAAATACAAATGTATAACAAGAACAAATATAACAAGAACAATATAATATATTGTAACGTTTTTTTTAACTGTTCGTAGTGTGAATTAAAACACGCACTGGTTAATTAACGAACTAAACTATTTATTTAATAACTTAACTACACTTAAAACACTATAAAACTAACTAAACACTTAACTACTAATTATTTATATATCACTATTGTTCAAGAGTCTATTTATTTGCACTGATATTTATTTATTTCGCCGCGAGTACCAAATCTTAACTAACTGCCGTGTGCTGCTCCGTTTCTTATATATTCAGCGCCAAGGTCTTCTGGAACATTCCAGCGAGCTCCACACTCTCGATTGTTCGAGCGCTGGGTCACCGGCGATGACTCATCGGCGATGACTAACCGGCGATGAGTCATCACTCCGATATCCAGAGCGGTACTCGCTACATTGCCCCCGTCTTAAAACATTTTCGTCCCGAAAATGGTCCTCAGCTCCATGGCGATATTTGCATAGAGATCCAAACTTGCATTGTGACGTTCTATAGAAGTAGCAGTCTACGGTCTTCCTTCCGGTTGTTCTTTTAGGGTTGTGGCAACAGACAAGAATGTGTATGCCACTAAATCTGAAGATAACTTCCACCATACTTCTAATTATTCTCCAGTCCAAACCGTCAAGTCCACAAGCAATCTTTGGTATCGCCAGGTTCATGATGTCCTTGGACAAAAGGATATCCCTCAATTTATTTAAGGCATTCCATACGTCACGGTAATTTGGCTTCTGATTGGAGAGTTGCTTCGTTACCAGATAGAAGATACTTCGGTTACCTATCTGCTCATTATCCACCATTTCAAGCACCTCTCCAACTTTGGGACTCTGCCTTCGTAGCTCGTCGACCCGTCCAAACTTGTTTTTAAAGACAACCGCTATTCCCCTGGACATCCTAAGGTCTTCCGCAACACAGTGAGCCAGGGAGTAATCGGCCGAAACCGTGAACAGATCTTTTTGCTCTTCTCGAGTGACACCATACCGAGCTTTTTTACCGCTCGAATATAAATACATGAAGTCTTCAAAAGGCAAGTCGTCTTCCGGCGGATTAACTCTCCTTACTCTAGCATCGTCTATTTGAGCATTGTTTCCAGCGTAAGGGGCCAATCGGTTGAAATGGATCACTTTCGGCTTTCCTCTTGGTTGTTTCCTGATCCTGTAGATGATGTCATTTATGCGATCCATGACTTCGTATGGTCCTTCCCAAGAAGTCTGCAGCTTCGGTGAATAACCACGACGGCGCTGAGGGTTGTATAACCAAACTAGGTCTCCAGGTTGAAATCCTCCATTTTCCGCCTTGATGTCGTATGCCTCTTTCATTCTATCACTGGCGCTCTGGATGTTTAAACGAACTCGGCTGTGAATGTCGCTCATTTTCCTACGTAAATTGTTGACGTAATCTTCTCCAGCAATATCATCCCCTGGTAGGCAACCAAACCTCAGGTCACAAGGTAGACGAAGTTCACGCCCCATAACAATGCTAGCGGGTGTCTGGCCGGTTGTATCGTGGATAGAAGAACGGTACGCCAACAGGAACAGATGAAGGAAGCGGTCCCAGTCTCTTTGGTGATCAGAGACTACCTTGGACAGGTACCGGTTTATCGTTCGATTCATTCGTTCTACCATTCCATCAGACTGCGGATGTAATGCAGTCGTCCTCGTCTTCCGAATGTTAAGAATTTTACAGACATTCTGGAACAGTATAGATTCAAAGTTCCTGCCTTGGTCTGAATGCATCTCCATTGGCACACCAAAACGACAAATCCACTCCTTAATAAGGGCATCGGCCACTGTGGCAGCTTCCTGATTTGGCAAGGCGTACGCTTCCGCCCACTTGCTGAAGTAGTCCATTACAACGATGATGTATTTATTTCCAGATTCTGTTTCCGGAAATGGACCCGCCACATCGATTGCAATTCTCTCAAATGGGCTGCCCACATTGTACTGTCGCATTGGGGCTTTTGG